GTGAAGAAAGGAAGGAGCAAAAAGGCATGTTCCAGTGAGAACTGTTAGGGCCTTAATCCAGAGAGGAAAGAGCATAATTTAACCATAAACTGACCACGACCAGGTGTTTCTCACAAGATTTCTGTGAAAAGAATTATCAGAAGAGTTGTCCAAGAGTCAGAGACCACATGTGGAGGTTTTTAGAAAGACCTGGAATTACCATGGCCTGTATGCACGCTCACCACCAAGCAGACCCTTTGCTAAAGAAAAAACATGATGGAGCTTGTTTAAAGTTTGCTGCACAACATTTAAACTGTTTACTTGCATTAAATAGTCAGATCTGGACAAACATAACAGAGAAGGGAGCAGAAGGACAACAGTCCCCTTCAGCCTTTCTCTGCTAATCCTCCTCACACCTCGGCTGAAATCGCTCACGGTGTCAGGTTAGGAACCGGTTTGGTTGTGGGTTTCTCCCTTTGTTTGGGTTTTATTTTCAGAGGAAGCTGACCTCTTGTGTTTTCCTTTCCCGAGGCGGTTACTGAGAGGTCATGAGGCGGGTTACTGAATAGAGGAGTAAAAGCGTAGGAGTAAAGGAATTCCCTGAATCCATGTTTTCTCTTATTAAGGTGAAACACCTACGCTGCAAAAACGATCTAAATTTAAGTAAAAATTTCTTGAATCAAGTGTACTTGCCCTTAATTTTAGTATGTTAATGAGGTAATTTGCCAATGGAATGAGTATTTTTACTCTTAAAATAAAAATAATTACATAATATGCACTAGTAATAAGACAATGCAATTGCTTTTTATTATTTTAAAGCTACAGTGTGTAATAATTACAGGGATATACAGTCAGAAATGTAATATATTATACATAACTATGTTATTTTATCATCATCTATGAGCTCAACCTCTTAACCTTAATATTTGCGTTGCCTTAGAATTCGTTATTTATAATTACAAAGGAGCGGGTCTCGCAGCCATGGAGGCAGACATCTTTGCTCTACGGCAGCGCAGAGCCAACAAACTAGCGATTGCGAGATCGGCCATTACGCTCGAAAGTAACTACGGCAAGTTGAGAGAGATGAACTGAGACGGTACTGAACAATAGATGGCAGTATTAAAATTATCTATGTAAACAAACCTCATCACTTGAGAAGGTAGGTGATGCGGACGTCGTGGAAGACATTTTGTCCCGTAACGCTCGCCGTACTGTTGGGGGGGAGAAGCGGTGGGGAGGAGATGTTCATGTTGCTGCAGTCTGCAGTCTGGACGTTAGATGTCGCTGAAAATTACACACTGTAGCTTTAAATGTAAATTGTCTTGTTCAATTGGAAAAGTGTCTTGAAAAAATGCAATTGTTTTAAGAAAACATGACTTACTTAGATTTCAGTTTTTTGCAGTGAATATTTTTTATCAGCTTAGGAGTGTAAAAAGGTTGAATTTGACTCTATGGTAAAATGATCAGTATTAGAAACCGACCGATACATCAGATGGACGATATTTTTGGACGACGTTAGCATTCATCTTGTATGCGTGCATGGAGGAAATTTTGATTTCAGAAGTCACGCGGGACGCAAGAGTTTTTTAATATAACTGTTATATTCAAGTCTGGTGTGTTTTCTGGTGGTTCTTCTCTGTATGTTTCCTTCACATTGTCTTGCATCTCTGCTATGCTTCTCCTGACAAAACATGAACAATTGGATAATTTGGGGCTGCAACAACCCATGTAGAATAAAAACACATAGCTTTACACTCTATTATGAGCCTGGATATATAGGATCACATTCATAGATTGTATTTTTTGCTTTTTTCCTTTTTTGTTGAATTTTTTTAACAGTACTTTTAATAAAACTAAACATATTTAACAAGGTTATTGAGAGCTTTATGATGCGGTGGAGGATGTTGAAGTGGATCTGCTGCTTTATGGAGCCAGTGAAAGTGTTTTATGAGGGGTGTTATACAGTTCTTTGAATGTAACTCTTTATTTTTCAGACATCCTGGCTGCGAGTCTAATAACCAAACAGACGCACGAGCATTAAAAACAAAGGTTTGTGTAAATTAAAGCGTCTGATATTAAAGCTCTTCTAGATCACGTGAACAAATGCAAAAAACAAGTTCCCACACTGCAAAAAATCTAAATCTAGAGAAGTTATTTTTTCTTAAAATAAGTGCATTTGTTCTTGAACTGAGAAGGTAAAAGAGACATTTTGCCAATGGAACAAGACAATTTACACTTAAAATAAGAAAATACAATTGCATTGTCTTATTTCAAATGCATATTATCTAATTATCTTATTTTAAGAGTAAAATTACTCATTCCATTGGCAAACTATCTCATTTACCTTCTCAAATTAAAGGTGAATATACTTAATTTAAGAAATTTTTACTTATTTCTAGATCGTTTTTGCAGTGCAACTTACACACTGGAATAAGATAAAAATCTAGATAAGTCATTTTTTCTTAAAATAAGTGCATTTATTCTTGAACTGAGAAAATAAAAGAGACATTTTGCTAATGGAACAAAGTCAATTTACATTTAAAATAAGAAAACACAATTGCATTGTCTTATTTCAAGTGCGTTTTATCTAAATATATTATTTCAAGGAAGCACGATCTGCTCTGCACATGTGCGAACAGATATATATCCGGGTTTCCATAAATAATGTAATATTGGTACTAAAATCAGTTATTTCTATCCTTATCCCACTAAGTAATGCTAAAACAAATCTTTAAAAAAAAGCTTTCTGATTTTTCTGATGCACTTTTGACGCTTTTTACATTTTCTCAGTTAAACTTCTTCTCTGACGTCATCATGGGACATGCTCAGAGCAGTCCGGCAATATGATTAAACCATGTTTATCTGCATTTTAGTTGCTTCTTTGTTTAGATTACGCACCATATAGCATAAGGTTAAAATGAAAGGAAAACACAAAACTCAAAAAGACTAGATTTATGTTTAAATCCAAAGCTGAAAAAGTTAGCTCCCGAAAGTAGCGTAGGATCCCATTTCCGTTAAAGACGAGTGATAAAACAGAAAGGATTTTAAGGCATTTCTTTTTTTTCAGGAAATATATTATTAACTTTTAACACATATTTTAGTATAGTTACTATTTTTGGGGATGTAAAAACCTAATTTAGGTCTTCTTAACAAAATCGAGGGCGACACAGATGTATATCTGGATGAGCATGCGCCATCAGCTCATTTTCCGGATCGTGCTTCTGGTGACGAGCAGGCTTAGGCTTGAGCTGCTGTTTTCTGCATGGTCCTAGTGCTCGACGAGTGTCTGTATACTGTAGACTAAAATTGTTTTTGGACAAAAATAAGGGCAGGGGAAATGTCTCCAGTGCCTACCCCTATGTATCTGTGGATATATGCATGAGTTTGCTGATTAATATTTTACAGTGGTTCCCCCCCTAGAGTTTGCACAGTGTAATTGCAGTGGTGTGTGATGGAAATAAATTGAATAAAAGACTCGTTTTCAGAGTTTTTGACTTATTTATTGACAGAACAGCTGCAACTGATGGTTAATTTGATAATCAATTTATCTGTCATTTCAATTTTCCAATTAATTTATTAATAATCAGATAGTAAAAGATGCCGTGTAGAATATTTTATGCTGAATTGAAACCAAGTGAATCTAAAACGATGCCACACTTTTATGGAGAAAAAAAGGATTTTCCATTTAAAATGCCAAAGGTTTCTATAATTTTTTACAATTTTGGCATAATACCTCCTCTGAGTGCGTCGCTCTTTCAGCTGTCGGCTTCAGTTAGTCTGTTTACTACGGTTTACGGTTAATCGATCACATCAGTAGGTGATGCTTGTTTGGAAAATCAATTAATGACGATTAACTTTGATGTTTAATTCTGTTACACAACAGAATAAACAGCTAAACTTAAAGCAATTGAACTTCAAATTAGATTATAGTTTACATAATTTTAATATAAAAAGACTTTTCTTTGATCATCTGGTGAAAAGGTTGGAGGGAGGTTAGAGCGATTGAAGGGGCGCAAAAAGTGTAAACAGAAGGGGGGTCCCAGCAAGAAAAGTAAGGGAACAGCTACATTAGCCATTAGATGACTAAATTATTCAAGTTTAGCTTGACTTATGACTAAATGTTTTTGTTTTGTTTTTTTTTGTTTGTTTGTTTGTTTGTTTGTTTGTTTGTTTAAATTGAGATGTTAGAGTGATAATTATAAAAATTATTATGTGGACATATGAAACATTGAAAGAAAGAAGATGCTACATTTGTATCCTGTGATTCAACCAGAAGGGTCATAAACTTTTATGACCTCCAGTAGGTCATGAGGCAGAATCACACGGTTGTGTGACTTCCATCCAGCCAGTTGGTCAATTCACACTATCTTATTACCTGCATCCTCCCAGATAATCATTACTGGGTCTTCTGTTTTAGGCCCGCCTTATGATGTTGTAAACTGTTAATAAAAGGCTTTTGCTATGAAGGGATCTGTGTGAGAAGGTGCTGGTTTCTGAGCTAACACCTTCTCTCCGCTTCTGCAGAGGCTGACCTCGAAAAACCCTGTCTCTGTGTTGATTATTTCCTCGTAATCTTTCAAACTCACATTTCTCTGGATTAAAACCCAACATGAGACTTAGGTCATTTTTCATCATGTAAATTGTTGAGGAAAAAGCAACATCAACTCTAATATTCGGCCCAAAAACACCAGCAGCAAATATTTGGGATTGGTTTGACTGATGTATAATCAGTATCGGCCTGAAAAAAAAATGTATCGCGCTTATTAACACTGGCAATCTGAAAAATTAAGAGCAAATTAAAAGGAAAAAGAAGAAAACGGAGACCAGAGCAGACTGAAACAGACCTTGTTTCCAGTTGATGAGCAAATCATCTGACCTTCCCTAAAAGGTGCCCAGGTTTTACCAGCACATTTTCTGACTCAACACCAACCAAACAGCTTGATTTAATGATGTTACTAAATCTACTTGGTTTACTTTTGTTTTTTTATTGTTAGTAAAGGACTAAACAAGTTGCGACTCACCGCGAAGCCAGCGGAGGAGGTAGTGGTCATGCTGAGCCGGGAGGCTGTGGAGGACATCTTGAATCCGCTCCCGAAACTGAAAGCAAATACATTTTTTCCATTACAAATTATAATAATAAAAGGAAAAAAGAGAGAAAAGCAAGAGTTGAATTTGCCATCATAGTTCTGTCCTTTTGGGTGAATATGTAAAAAATACTCTGCATTCCTCATTTATGCATTTAATCTAGTTTGTAGATAATAATTTCATTAAATAAATGAACTCATTTGATCCAACATCGGTGACATTTAAAAAAAACCTTCTCTTGTTAAGTTTCACACAGTAAATAAAATAAAATCTGTCTAGTAAGATAAGATAAGGTAGTAAGGAAGGTTAGAAAATCTCTAAAATCAACAGTTTAGGCATCTATGCAAATAAACTAAAAACCTGGCAAGAAACGAACCTGAAAAAGAGTTTGGACTCGATCGCAGTTAGAACAAAAAGCTCAGCAGAAACTGTCCATCTAACCAAGACTTACAATCTTAGATCTTCCCAGTCTTTTTGTGGTCTCGTTTTGAGATCACATACTAAGAGCAGATTCTGTTAGCAGGTTCTGTTCTTTTGAGAAAAGAGAAAACATTTTTGTCATATTTTGCCGCTGATGGCTCATGTCATTCACCTCTAGCTCTGCTAGTTCTCTGTTCTCATCACGGCTCATCTGATCCACCTGCTCCTGCTTCTGTTTAAAGTCCTTGATCCCAGCCATCATTGCCAGATTATTCTTGAGCCTTTGGCGTAGAGAGTTTTTGAGCGTCACTAGTATCTAACGTTCTGTTTTCCCGATCCTGACCCATTTCTGTATTCAGACTTTTGAGCCTGCCTGTCTCTGTCTGATCTGTTTGCCTGACCCGTCTTCAGACCCCTGTTTGATTCTACTGTCGACTGAACCTGGATCTGCCTCCTTACTTCGCCCTGTGGATTATCCTGCCTTCCTTTGTCAGCTCGGACCATCTAGGCTTAGCATCTGGAACTCCCTGGCAGCGTCCGCTGCGCCTTGTCAGCCGACCGGCTCGAATCATCCTCTTTCTCTGGGTCACGGGCTGAACTGTCAAACAGGTTAGTGACTCACGCGTTCATAATCATCCTCCGTCAGAATATTGTTGTCACTAACCTGTGTTTCTCTTCTAAGGACGTTCCGGTGATAGAGGCCCTAGCGGCTGCTTCTGCAGACCCGCTAGTTTAAGTTAACGCTTTTAAGTTATTCCACTGTCTGTCTAAAGGAATAAATATAAGTTTAGAATAAAATTTGGGATACCATTGCCTATTCCATTATTTACCGTACTGTTTGATACTGTTTACCGCTTTGACGGAAAGTAGAACGAATGAGTTCTTGTAGCGGTTCTCTCATTAAAGATGGTCAGAAGTGAAGGGTGCTTCTTGACTCCGAACAACTTTATTGCTCTTTGGGTAAGACAATTAAGTTTGGCCTTCATTTGGACAGAGAGACAGGTCACCAAACCAGGCAGAAATGTTATGATGCTCTCTATTACAGCACAATGAAAGTGCAGCAGGACTTTCTGACTGAAACCAAAGGCCCTCAACCTGGGCAAAAAATATAGCCACTGCTGGACCCTGTTGCATACGTAATCTACCTGAGCAATCCATGATAATCTATTATCACGGACTGCTAATTCATTGAAAATAAATTAGCAATCTTAAATTAATTTTTTGTCAATTTGTAATCCAAGATATTTGTAGGACTCTACTTGTGCAATTATTTGATTACGGATGAACACTGGAGAGTGCTGTTCAACTGCCCTCGGGGGGCAAAGATCAGTTCTTGTGTTTTTTGGACATTAGGAATCAGAAAGTGTTCCTTGCAGCACTGAACAAAGGTTTTAATCTGCTGTCTGTAACTTATTATGTCTGATGAGCCTGAAATGAGGAGGAAAGCGGGGACGAAGATGATGTGGAAGAGGACGCCAGGGTGGCAGAAGCTTGGTTTGGAATAGAACTCAATGGGAAAGTAAAGAAATATACTGTTGCGTATATTAGCTGTGACATATGAATCAAGATGCTAAGACCAAAAAATTAGATTGACAGATGACCGTTGATATATGATATTGGCCAACAGATAACGGAAAAAACCCTAATTTTTAAGACAAGATTTTTTTTTTTACTGAAGTTTTCAAAATTTCTGGACAATATATCTGATAAAGAGTACATTTAAATGACATTTAAATATGACTTCCCTACGACTTTAAGCAGTAAAAATCCAGTAATAACCTTGAGGTGAGTTTCAATATCTATAAACTATGGTGCTTTTGGGGGATCAATAGCAGAAGAGATCAAGAAATATTCATTTCAGTTTATTTCTATAGTGCCAATTACCAACACACGTCATCTTTAGACTGCTGGAGGACATAAAAAACCCAATTTCATAAATTTGCTTCATTCTATCTCTATTCTCCCACTCTGCAGAATCTGTTAGTTCAATCTCTAATGTTCTGCTCTCTCTGCTTTTTCTTATAGCAGCTTCATCTGTTCCTGTTTGGCTGTGACTCCATCCTGGAGAGAAATATCAGCTGTGCTGCTGCCATCAACATCCTTGTTTATAGATGTTGGAGATCGGCCTGTTTTTCAGTGTAGTCCTGTTTCTCTGACTGTGACTGGCTGGATGTGCTCTCTTCATCCTCTGACATGGGAGCTGGCTCAGAGCTCGTCTGCCTGGCTGTGTGTTACAGAAGTGATAATTTACTAATAGCCTTTAAATGGTAGGGAAACACTTTCTTGTATACTCAGATTACACCATTTGGCTCTCTTTTTCAACTTTCTTTTTCGACCAAATCAACTGGTTTTCCTTAGATAGAAAACTTTGAATCAATTTCACTGTAAGATCTGGAGAAGTGTAAAGCGCCTTGAGATTCAGTTCAATTCAGTTAACTTTATTTATATAGCCTAAATTCACAACACATGTCATCTCAAGGCACTTTACAATTCAACAGATCATCCAGTTAAATTGATTCAAAGTTTTCTATCTAAGGAAAACCAGTTGATTGCATCGACTCATTGACTCGAATGCAATCCCTCACACCAAGCATGCTTGTAGCGACAGTGGAGAGGAAAAACTCCCTTTTAACAGGAAGAAACCTCCAGCAGAACCAGGCTCAGTGTGAGCGGCCATCTGCCGAGGCCGACTGGGGTTCAAGGAGACAGAAGTAGAGATAGAAAAGGAACTGTAATTAATCTATGAAGGCCTAACTTTCCACAGTCACTTTCAAGCGTAATGGCAATATCTACAGTTATCACTATATAAGCAAAGGCCATTTAAGTTCACTAGTTAGCTCTGCGCTGCCGTAGGTCTATCTCTATAAATGCGAGACCCACTCCTATGTAATTATAAATAACAATTTCTAAGGCAAAAACAAATATAAAAACTGAGACTTTCAACTCATATATAATGAGATACTTACGTATAATGGAAATTTGTGAAATTGCACACTGTGCTTGAATTTTTTAGATCAAGGCTTGTTACCTGCTTTTAGTTTTGATTGAGTAAAAAAGCAAACAAATTGATTACTTCTGTTGAGTGTTTCCTGTTAGAACAATCTGAAAAAGACGTAATTTAAACAAAGATGCTAAGGAAATGTCATCCATTTCGAAAAATATTTCCAGTCTCTGCTTACGTCCAGATTAAAGCAAAAAAGAAGGTATGTTTTCACCACAAGCTGAATCAGTGTCCTTGAAAAGTTAACAGCAGCAGCCATCAAGCTCACAAAAAAACAAAACCCCTGCCAACAATTTGCACTAAGATCTTCAGAAATTAGAGATTAGGGATTCCTCTCTGACCTCAGTGAGGCTCTCCGCCTGCTTTGGGCTCAGGTCTCCGATTCGTCCGCTCATGTCTCAGCTGTGGTTCTGTCAGAGCTGCGGCTGTGAATGAGAGTGGGAGGAGGTAAATCCAGGTAGACCAGTCAAAAGGCCACGCCTCTTCTCACATTTTCCCTCTCAAACACACAGAGAGGAAGGTGGACTTTCACCCTGCCAAAACTGGTTACCTGCTGAAAACTTCAGAAAGGCAGTGATACCATGGTGAACATTTGGAGTGCAGCTCAAAACACTCCCCCCAAAAAATTCAGATGCTAATTATTAAGTCCTTACATTGATATGCTTATTTTCATCCACCTGAAAGTAGTTTCTCACCTGGATTCAGTGACTCTATGTTGATTCCTCTCTTCTCCACTGATTCAAATCAGCAGAAGTTATTACATAAGTAGGGTTGAGCAATAAATGTATGCAATCCGCTCTTACTCACATAAGCAATAGAACATTTCGTACGTGAAAATAAAGAAAAAAGGCCCTCTTTTGTTTTTCGTTTATTTTGGGAATACTTGCCAAAATTATCCCTGACCCCCGTACTTTTCCACAATTTATACCAAACTAGCTCTTTTGAAAAATCTTAGCAAGAAAAATGTAGATTAATATTTTGTTATTGAAGTTAATATTCTTGGTTGTTGTGATATGTTCCCAAAAAAACACAAGTTCCAATTAAAAATTTATTCTATAGTTAAAAAAACAACAACATCTAAATGCATAAAATCTTTAATAAATGTTAAAGAAAACATTTATTAAAACTTTATTATCAGTACTAAAACGTTATTTGTAAAGTTGTCAATCATTTAAAGTGTCAGTACATTTTTTGGTGCGACTGTCCAGCTTCAACTACTGTACTATAAATGTAATTAAAATTACTTTAAATGTATTCATGTGTATTTTTTTGTTGTTGCCATTTTTGTCATTATTATCATATGTGATTTACAGCCCTGTAATTTCAAAGTGTTTTATACCTATCATAGATAAGTGTTTCAAGATGACGTGTGTTGTGAATTGGCCTTATCAGGGTCAGAATCACTTTATTAATCCTTTGCGGGAAATTATTTTCTTACAGTGCAACCAGAACAGAGAAAAATAAGATTGTATATAAGTTAACTGAATTGACTTGACATGTCATCTGGTTTGAGCATTGAAATTTTATATATATATATAGTAAATATTTTTTCCTAAGGTGGTCAGAATTATGCTTTTATATTCAACTGCACGAGTGAACTGTGGCAGTAATTTTTATGAATTACTTTAACTTTGCCCTATTTGATGTTATTTTGGCAAAATACATTTTTTTTAACGTTTTGCTTGATATTTACAAAAAAAGAAGAAATTGATAAGTAAAAATCAATTTAGTAAGTAAAAATCCTTTTGGGCATGTGAACTAATTATATATAGGTAATTCTACATGGGCGACAGTGGCGTTGGATGTAGGAGTTTGCCCTGAAATCGAAGGATTGACGGTTCAAGCCCCGACTTTCAGTGTCGTTGTGTCCTTGGGCAAGGCACTTCACCTGCATTGTCTACTGATGGTGGTCAGAGGGCCCGGTGGCGCCAGTGTACGGCAGCCTCGCTTCTGTCAGTAAGCCCCAGGGCAGCTGTGGCTACAATGTAGCTTGCCACCATCAGTGTGTGTGTGTGTGTGTGTGTGAATGGGTGAATGAATGTAGTGTAAAGTGCTTTGGTCAAGTCTCCTGACTTGAAAAAAGGCGCTATATAAGTACATACCATTTACCATTTTACATTATTATTTATCTATTAATTAATAACCTACCATCTGCTTGTTGGTGGTGAATTCACTTTGTTCCCACAATTTTGGGAAACAAAATCCAGTGAATTGATTACAACAGTTTATATATTACATTATACTCCATACATGTGTTTTATTGAACAGCAGAACATCACATATTCGTTACCCAGCTTATTGTTAACCTTTGAAGATTTAAGAGTAGTGAATGCAGTTGTTTTTGTTTGCATCAGTGTGCATTAAAACATGTAGGAACAAAGGATGTTTCATAGCAGCCTCAGTTCAAAGCTTCATCCCACTTTAAGACCTGCAGAGAAAATTATCTGGAGCCGCCACTGATTGGAAGCCAAAACAAAGGTTGGATCAAACCCCCAATTTCCTCTGGAATTTAGGAATCAGTAAAGGTGCAGCAGCAAGAAGGAATATGGTGGCGCTGAGCCATTGAGAGGTTAAAACAACATCCGTCCATCCTCTTCTGCTTATCCGGGGTCAGGTCGCGGGGGTAGCAGCTTCAGTAGGGAGGCCCAGACGTCTCTTTCCCCAGCCACTTGGGCCAGGCCTGGGTCTCCCCCTGGGCCTCCTCCCAGTGGGACGTGCCTGTAACACCTCACCAGGGAGGCATCCTAACAAGATGCCTGAGCCACCTCAACTGGCTCCTCTCGACATGGAGGAGCAGCGGCTCTAGTCCTCCCCGGTTGACAAAGCTCCTCCCTCCATCTCTAAGGGGGAGCCCAGACACGCTATGGGAAAAAACTAATTTCGGCCGTTTATATCCATGATCTCGTTCTTTTGGTTAATGACCCAAAGATGAGGGTAGGAACGTAGATCGACCGGTAAATCGAGAGCTTTGCCTTTTGGCTCAGCTCTCTCTTCACCACGATGGACGGATACAGCACCAACTTCACATGAGACGCCGCACCAATCCGTGTGTCGATCTCCCGCTCCATCTTCCCCTCATTCATGAACAATTGAAACACCAACGAAAGAAGCCAGTGAAACAAGGCCAATACCAGAGTGAGAAGCTTTTCTTTCCATAAGAATCGCCCCTTGATCTTAAAGCTATAGTGCGCAGTTAGATTAGCGGTTCCAAATTACGCCAAGAAAGGAGAAGCTTAATCCTGAAGACTGACAATATCACCACAAATTGAACCTATCAAACCTAAGGGCACACTCTGTTCTAAGCCCTTAAATGGTAGCAACAGACTTTAAACCAGGAGTCAAGGCAACAAAGTCACCTCTGTTTTAATGTTCATTTGAAAATTTAAGACATTACGTTCCATCCGTGATTTGGTGTCACTGAGATACTCCAGAAGGGAAAGAAAGAAGGAGCATCAGATCGCTTGGCGGGTAAAATAGATTCAACAGTCATCAGCATATAGGTTGAGTGAAATCCAGAGATGGGTGGTAACTAGTTACATTTACCAAGTTAAATTTAGCTGAAAAACTTTTTGAGAAGAATACACTTTTGGAATAGTTTTCTTCAACCAAAACTTTTACCGTATTTTCACGACCGTAAGGCGCACCGTACTAAAAGGCGCATTCTCAGTTATGTGTCCCATTTCTGTATTTAACACACACATAAGGCGCACCGGACTATAGGGCGCGTTTTTATATACATGTCATCTACTACATTTAAATACCTCTACTGCGTATTTAAAAATAGAGCGTGAGCAAAACTGAGTATGACTGTGCTTTATTCATGTATTTATTACAAAGTATTAATCAAACCCATCAAAGTCATCATCCTCTGTTTCTGAATTAAACAGCTGCGCTAAATCAGACATGCCAATTTCCCCTTCTTCGCTGTCAGAGTCACTTTCCGTGCCGCGCGGCTCCTCGGAAATGATGCCGGCTTTTGCAAAAGCGTTCATTTGTTTCACCTTTTTTTTCACATCAGCTGTGAGATGGGCACGCATGGAGTCACAGATAAACAGCAATAGTGATGCGTGGAAAAAAACCACCTGGTCTCCTTACTTACACCTCCCTCAGCCACTCTTTCATCATCTCCTCATCCATCCAGCCTTTTTCATTTGCCTTAATGACGACTCCAGCTGGAAAAGTCTCTTTAGGCAAAGTCCTTCTCTTAAAAATCACCATAGGCGGCAGTTTCTGTCCATTTGCGTGGCAGCCAAGCACAACAGTAAACGAAGCCTTTTCATAACCCGTTGTGTGTATCGCTACAGTGCTGGTCCCCTTCTTCTCCACCATGTGATTCACCAGGATGTAATAGTGAGCGACACCTCGTCCATTTTGGTGATGTGGCTTGGCTGGATGACTTTGTCAGCGATGTGTTTGCTGCAGTAGGAGTGGAAGCTCGCCAGCTTTTCATTAAAATCCGCCGGACGTTGCTGAGCTACTGTAGTCCTGGTGCGGATGGATAAATTGCACTCTTTGCCATTTTCAGGGTTGTTATGACGACAATGTTCTGCATGAAGCACATACCTGTTCTTTTATACACAATCCACACCCACACTTCCCCCTTTAAAGTTCTCATGGCGGTCTCAACAACGTCCGCAGTAACAACACACATAGGACGCACCCCAATATAGGGCGCACCGCACATTTTGAGGGGGAAAAAAAAGAAGTTTATATGCGCCTTATAGTCGTGAAAATACGGTACTTTTATTTAAGTAATATCCTAATATAGTACCGCTACTCTTCCTTAAATGTATAGTGGAGGACGTTATTTTTCCAGGTGGATCATCAAATCATGGTGGAAAAATTGCAAATCTTCTTTTGGAGCGATGCAAACAGCAACTTTTAAACAGAGGGTGCACGAGGAGAAATGGGCGTTCCCTCTCGGGAGTGGGTACAGCGTTTTGCATGTGCACTTTTTTTAAAGTGGAGAGGGCAGGTCTTTTCAAAAATTCACGAAAATCTTCCACTTTACCTTTAAGTAAAATGTTTGGCTACTCCATCCATCCATTATAACTTCACTGAATAAAGAACAAGTTGGTTCTCTTTGTAAAAACTGCTCCAGATAAAGGTGGTTAATGTTTATGTCAAAAGGAGTTTCCTGTTTTTTTGTACACAAACTTACTGAAACTACTGACATTTGGAGGTCACGCTAATATAGGGTGAAGAGAAAATGTTATGTTTGGAGAAGTGTTACTTTTGCCTGGAAATATTTTGCAATCGCAATGGTTGTTTTACGGTAGGTACCTCATGATCTTTAAAACAGCAGAATTTGCACATAACTATGAATTTTGTTCCGTATTTATTGCATAATTTCATAAAATCAGATGTTACTCATGACCTGAGGAGCCTTTCTACCAAACATTTTACTTTCACTTGAGGTGTTTCTTGGACGACTCCTTTTTGCTCCTACATTTGAGTACATTGTTTTTCATTATGAAATCCCATCTGAAAAACAGTTTTCAGTGACACAAAGTACGGGGAGAAAAATGGCCCGAGAGTAGAGCGTTGAAGTTCAATCCTATAGAAGAAAAGCAGTCCCATTGGAATCTGCATTTATTTTGTACATCGAATTTTAAACACTGAATTTTTAGCACATTGAATTCCTTACAATAATTTTTTCTTTTAGCATCGAATTTTAAACATTGAATCTTTTTAAACATTGAATTCCTTACACTGAATATTTTCTGTTGAAAATTCACCTGCAAAAAATGGAGCTGCAAAAAAATTCACCTGCAAAAGATAATTAAAGCAATCTACACTTGATTCAGCCGAGCAGCCTATAGCCGGTGAAATTAGCTCACTTGGTCAGAAAAATAAAGCTTTTCTGTTGGCCACCTATTGTGGATCAAACCAAGAGTCTTGGCAGTTAGGGGTGCTGCACTAGCTGTGATTGGCTCACTTATTTCACCCTGTCTGATTAGATGAAAAACTGTAATGGCTGTCTATTAGTAGCTACCAGACGTTTTGTAATCATATTTATTTAATAAGAAAAACTCCTCATTCAGCTTCATTCAACAAAGCAATGCCCAACTGTTGTGTCATCATGTGACCAAATGAGCTAATTTCATTGGCTAGAAGCTGCTGGACTGTATTGAGTGTAGATTGCTTTGGCTTCAGTTCACCAAAAGGTCGACACATTTCCAACTAATTTTTTGCAGGGGAAATTTTTACAAGATTAAAATTCAGTGCAAAGAATTCAAAGTGTAAAAACTTCAGTGTTTAAAATTCGGTGTACAAAAAAAGGTAGATAACAATGAGACTGCATTTCTTCACACTTATGCCTATCAGATAGGTACAACCTGATGCGCCTTTCGTTGAAAATCTGAATATCATGAATTCGTCTCGTCACGACAAACTTCAACTATTTATAGTGGAATGGCAGAAACATACCACCAACATGGCGGCTTTGGCCTTCTAGAAATTGAATTTATTCATGTTTCAAACTAAGCGAAGAGAATCTTTTTAGGAGGGAGTGACTAACGCCTAATCGGGTTCATATCTGGACTTTGAATAGGCCGTTCTAACAAATCTTATAAAGTAAACCCAGGTGTCCCAAGTCCATCTGCAGCTTTCTGGGGTTAATTTTCCACCATTACCCTTTCCCATTTCTGCTAAAAGAAAACAGCCCCCACAGCATAATACTGCCAACACCATATTTTACAGTTTACAGGGACGTTATACAATGTAAGCAACTAGTTCATATTGGTTCTTATTCGATCCTCACATCATCCTCCACACTGTTTTTTTTCTCCTCCATAAAGATCAGATGTGTGAAGCCCACAGCTAAGAGCTTCTCATCATATCGGTGAATCCTTCATTTCGGCCTTTATGGAATGTAGAAGCCATTATGTATAAGCTCTATAAAAGAAGGGAAATGATGTGTGTATGGGTGTGTGTTTCACCGGAAACGGCAAATCGGTTTGACAGCATGGCGGGGAAACGCTGTCAACTAACAGCTGGCTGTTGTATCATTTTTTGTTTTGTTTTGTAAGCAGCAAGAGTGGGAATAAATCAGCCTTTAAACAGCAAGAACGGCGTCTAGACATTTCCTGTTCACACCATCTAACCCCGGCAAAGCGCGCAACCATAAGATTCCGGTTTAAAAACACTCCAGTGGCTTTAAGCGTCGGCTTAGCCCCTACATGGAATAAAGGTCAGATTTCAAATTCAAACCCACATTTGAGCTTTTGTTGTTTATTTGTGCTTTTTAATTAATTCACACTCTAAAATAGTTTGTTTTGAACATAAAACATGAATACCTTAGAATTTGCACTTAAAAAAAAAAGTAAATCAAATTTAAATGAAAATCATTGCAGATTATTTAACATTTATATTTTATACATCACTGAATTCATCCGTCTCCAGTCTGGTGAAGTTTGAAAAAAAAAAAGAGCACGAAACATTTTTTTTCATAAAAGTCATTTTTATTATTTAAATACACAAGATATCTAGACCAACAGGTCACCAAAGTAAAGCTGGTGTCATGAATAAATAGATGATTTACAAGAAATCAAACTTCAGAAAAAAACGATCAGCCTAAAAGTTGCTTTCATTCCGACATAATGCAGCCGTTTAAATCAAAAGACAAAGAAATAATTCGTTACATTATTCCACCTCCTCTAAACGTCACTAATCAGATAAAGAATACACAAAAAAAAAAAAAATGGACATGTTTGGAGCAGAGTTCAGTGATCTTTCCAAGGATCGTTACGTCCTCCACATGTTCAACCTCTACAGTCAAACACTTTGGATGAAAGAAAAAGTGGTTTTGTTCGCACTAATGGGTAACGCTCATGACTTAGCAAGGTTTGACTTTATGTGGATATTTGAGGTAAGGAGCAGAACCAGAGCGAGCAGACCGTGATTCTGAGGGTGTGTTAAAGGGGCAGAGGCTAAAGAAACCTTCTTAAACCTTCTTCCGCTCAGCATTAATAGTTTCTGCAGGCAAACATAAACCCAGCAGATCTTAATCACCACACGCATTCAGTCCTACCCCCATGTCTTCAGAAACCGATTTTATTAAGCATTCCTATCATTAAAAGATCTGAAATAAGTGTGAGGCGGGGTGTTAAAGTGGTGAACCGAATGCAGTGCCAGGCTGACATTCTGCCGCCGAGTGCTTTTTTCTGTTTCCTAAACACGGCCCATGAGGGGGGCTGAAACATATACTAAATGATCAGAAAAAAATCATTTTCTGGCTCAAAACTTTCCAACAGAAACTATAAAATGGATGCAAAGGTTTACAGATCGTTAAAATACTGGTTTATGTTCCTTAAAAATATAGATATTCTTAATTTTCTTCTAACTTTAAACTCTTTAGTTATTAACGACTCATTGACAGGAAACGGCAAACTAGCTGATCTCATGCACACGCTAACCCGAAGCACAAAACACCCTGCCTGTGTTTGCTGACGGAGTTAAACTACAACCAGCAGAGGAGGTCAAGGCTTAAACATTTAGGCTGAACTGAAGCGCCAACATTTGTTTTGTTTTTTGTTTCCTCCTCAAATGAAGCTAAACATATTTATTCTTAACCTGGATTTTTCTGCTTTTACATCATTTATACCAAAAATATCTCTGCAATAATAAAATGATTCTTTTCTTTATACAATCTCTGCACATTGTGTTATACATGTGGATGAAAAGTCAAGACAAGCTGAAAAACACTGATCTTTGTCCTGAAACTAGAAAAAGTACGAGCCAGGAAAAGTGAGGCACCCTCTGCTACCCTCTGATTGGTCAGTTTTGGTGGTCTGATCTAAGCCCCGCCCATCACTCCATCTCAGCTCAGTGGAAATTTGGAAAAGCTTTAAAATAGGATGCATAGTCCATGAGTTATGATGGAAAAGGATGCATAGATATGAGATGTTGACCATCGGTCGCTCTGAAACAAAAGATTTTTTTCAAACCAGTGAACACATCTCATCTTAAAGCGCTACCAAATAACACCAAAGACACCGCTCTTCGGTGCGGAAGTTCTTACTGTGGTGAGGTGTTTAAAAATGAACAGGCAGAAATGGTTTGATTCATTCAGGCTGCGAGAAAGAGAATGTTTTTCAGGGGATAACAGGAAGGCTACATGTAAAACAGCAAGGATTCAACTGGATTTGGAAATGTGCTGCTAACTATGCTAACGGGGCCCTTTGCTAATATAAGATCCAGAATAAACCTAAAAACATCAGCTTTGTCTTTGTCGTATTATGTGTTACGCTGATTGCTCTTTTGCGTCTTCCTTTATTAAAGTCGGTAACAGCTTTTTAAATGTCAGGAATTCAACGCTATGAATCGTCAAGGAGGTCTGAAATAGTTTCAACTGTGAAAATGAAATCTAGATATTCTCAGATCAGTTTCTTCTTTGCTGACATTAAGCTCTTATTAAAAAGCTGTTGGAAAGGCATTTCAGACAAACTGGAAAATCTGCTTCGCGTCCTTCAGATCTCGGCTCCCTGGGAGTTTCAGGACGGCTGTCGGGCTGGGAGTGTTTCGCCCTGAACGAGGCGAAACTGGAGCTTTTCCAACAAGAAATCCGCTGCCGCTTTAAGCTACGTTTTACAACCTTCATTTCAAAGTAAAAAAATAAATAAAAATACAATCATATGAGGAATGCTGCTGAAGATGTGGTCCAGCTCAGAATAACAAAAGCTGATAATGTGGCGTTTGAGGCTCAGCTTTTGGTTGGAAACTCTCCCAGCATCCAATCCCGCCTGGTTGCGGCTTTAGTTTGTAAATGTTTGACAGATATTCTTCTGTTTACAAAAAAAATGTATAAACTTTATTTACAATCTGAGCTTCATGTCGGATGAAAAACCGAAATAAAAACCGCAGCCGAATTGGATCTGGTTAAATGTGGATTCTTCTTCCAGGTTGGTGTTGGATTCGCTCCGTCTCTACTGTAGGAACATGAGCAGCAACATTAAACAAGCTTCCTGGCAGAGAAACGAAACACTTCTAAGACAGAAAAACAAACCATCACAACGCCTAAGATGTGGAGATGGAGCGTTTCCAAACGAAGCGGCTGACTTGATTCTCCCAGCGTTTCTTCGCAGCACCTGACTCGTTTCCCTGCTGTTGTTTTCACTGAGTTAAGCCCATGTTTTTTAGTTTGAATAATTACATCCAGATGAGACTGTGGTGACATTCGCAGAGGCTCTCCTTACGAGCGGAGAGCCGGGAAGGCAGAATAGAGAATGACGCTTCGGTTCTTAGGTTTTTAGTGTTTGGCGTCGGGTAGATGTAGCAGCTTTGGAGAGCGCGCCGAAGGGAACCTATTTCCCGCTAAAAAATAGATCATCTGTTCAGCGGCCATCTTCTTTAGTGTGCGGAGGTCTTACGATCACTGCAGAGAGTGTGTGATGTAGAACACCAGCTCCATATCCATGGCGGTCTGCGGCACGCTGGCGCCACCTCCATGGATGACAGGGATCAGAGCGCCGTCCATCTCGTTCATGTAGCGCTGAGGGAGGAGCCTGCCTCCGGATCCGGCCTGGTACTCCAACTAAGCATGGAGGGAAAAAAAATAAAAAATGAATGAGCCAGGAAAAAACATCACAACAAACGTTCTAATAAATTACAGGGATTTTATGCAGCGCGAAACGGCACTGCATGAAATCTGATTACTAAGAGTCTGAAAAGTGTGGCTTGCATTTAGACTCTGTTCAACTTTCAAGCTCATTAGTTGAACTGGTTAGCAGAAAATCCATTTTTTTTGTTTTTTTGTTTTTATTATCAAGTAAAAAACAATAAAAAACATAAATCAATCAAACAGAAACCTTCAAATTACAAAAGGAACCTGTAAAGAAGAAACATACTGCACAACAAATACAACAAGAAAAGAAGAAATCAACCTGCTATATAGAAACCAACAAAAGACAACAGTGTTCGGCAACTCCAACTGTTCTAAGAGCCACATTGGACCAAAAAAAACAAAAAACAAATCTGGATCAAGTCTGGAGCTGCAAAAAATATAAAAGTCTTATATAAGCCTGGTATGGAAACACTGCTCTAAGTGTATTATCCCACTATAAAAACTACATGGTGTTAAATATATACCGTATTTTCACGAGCATAAGGCGCACCGTACTAAAAGGCGCAGTCTCAGTTATGTGTGCCATTACTGTATTTAACACACACATAAGGCGCACCGGACTATAGGGCGCGTTTTTTATATACCGGTACACATCCTCTACTACGTTTAAATACCTCTACTGCGTATTTAAAAATAGAGCGGGAGCAAAACTGAGTATGTTTGTGCTTTATTCATGTATTTATTACAAAGTATTAATCAAACCTGGGAGCTGGCCGTGAGACGGACACATCGCTGATGACAGAGCGCTGTGATCACTCCTATGAAACAGTTTATTGACGCATAAATTAACTTAAAATGCAGAAATCTGCCGGCAGAATATGTTCGCTTTTATTATCCTGGTGCCTGCAGTTTGGATTATTTAGATGAAAAACACCTACCAGCTGCCGCGGTGAACCGGGAGGAGGCGACCCGGCCAGAGGCTGCTGTTGAAGGGATTCCTACTGACAGCGCAGCGCTGGTATGTGAGGGTCTGAGCAGCTCAGACAGAAATAATATTGGAAGGCAGGATGATAATCTCGATGAACTGACTGCAATGATTAAGTTTTCAGGTGGACTTTCTCACTTAAAAACTTATTAAAACTACTTTATTCCCACTGATCACAGCAAATATAGCTGCAAGGCAAAGAAAGGATAGAGTAGCTCCGCCCAACGCGCGTCAGAGCCACTCCTGCACCGCGCAGCCAGAGCAGCAAAGCTGCTTCAGCCGCGCGTCAAAACTGACTGGTACAAGCAGCAGAAATGAAGCAGCAGACGCGATTTTGCTGCTTTTGCTGCGTCCGGTGTGAACGTAGCATTATTTTGAAGGGCCGGTTCACACCGATGTCGAGCGGTTGAAGTTCCTTTGTCAGACCTCCCGGAATAACAGCAAGCACAGCGTTCGTTTGATTCCCCATGCTTTTCAGCTGTTCGGCTGTGTCCGCAGTAACAACACACATAGGGCGCGCCGCACATTTTGAGGGAAAAAAAGACATTTATATGCGCCTTATAGTCTCGAAAATATGGTAATAAACGAGGGGTAACCGATTAAAAATCAGCAGGGTCCGAATAAAGAAAATCATCAACCAGTAAAGGTCCGGAGACATTTTTAATTATAATCTGTTACTTTAAACAGAATTTAACACTGAAAAAATGAGGTTTTTTTATGCATCCATGTTATACATAGACTTAAAAAAAAAAAAAAATCTAATTTAAAATCTAAAGAGAACAACAATCATTCCATTTTTTTATATAAATCTTATTCACATATTTGAACCGAATTGATTGTTTTGTTTTCTTTCTTTTTTCTGTCTTAATGTTCGCAGTGGGCTTTATGCTGCCCTGCAAGGCTTTAAACCTGGTTTGAATGGAGACAAAGCCATTCTAAAGCACATACAGTGGGGCAAAAAAGTATTCAGTCAGCCACCAATAGTGCAAGATCTCCCACTCAAAAAGATGAGAGAGGCCGGTAATTTTCATCATAGATATACCTCAACTATGAGAGACAAAATGAGAAAAAAAAATCAGAAAATCACATTGTCTGATTTTTAAAGAATTTATTTACAAAATATGGTGGAAAATAAGTATTTGGTCAGTTACAAACAAGCAAGATTCCTGGCTCTCACAGACCTGTAACTTCTTCTGTAAGAGGCTCCTCTGTCCTCCACTCATTACCTTCATTAATGGCACCTGTTTGAACCCGTTATCAGTATAAAAGACACCTGTCCACAACCTCAAACAGTCACACTCTAAACTCCTCCATGGCCAAAACTAGAGAGCTGTCAAAGGACACCCGAAACAAAATTATAGACCTGCACCAGGCTGGGAAGTCTGAATCTGCAATAGGTAAACAGCTTGGTGTGAAGAAATCAGCTGTGGGATCAATTATTAGAAAATGGAAAACATACAAGACCACTGATAATCTTCCTCGATCTGGGGCTCCACGCAAGATCTCACCCCGTGGGGTCAAAATGATCACAAGAACGGTGAGTAAAAATCCCAGAACCACACGGGGGGACCTAGTGAATGACCTGCAGAGAGCTGGGACCAAAGTAACAAAGGCTACCATCAGTAACACACCACGCCGCCAGGGACTCAAATCCTGCAGTGCCAGACGTGTCCCCCTGCTTAAGCCAGTACATGTCAAGGCCCGTCTCAAGTTTGCTAGAGAGCATTTGGATGATCCAGACGATGACTGGGAGAATATCATATGGTCAGATGAAACCAAAATAGAACTTTTTGGTAAAAACTCTACTCGTCGTGTTTGGAGGAGAGAGAATGCTGAGTTGCATCCAAAGAACACCATACCTACAGTGAAGCATGGGGGTGGAAACATCATGCTTTGGGGCTGTTTTTCTGCTAAGGGACCAGGACGACTGATCCGTGTGAAGGAAAGAATGAATGGGGCCATGTATCGTCAAATTTTGAGTGAAAACCTCCTTCCATCAGCAAGGGCATTGAAGATGAAACATGGCTGGGTCTTTCAGCATGACAATGATCCCAAACACACCGCCCGGGTAACGAAGGAGTGGCTTCGTAAGAAGCATTTCAAGGTCCTGGAGTGGCCTAGCCAGTCTCCAGATCTCAACCCCATAGAAAATCTTTGGAGGGAGTTAAAAGTCCTTGTTGCCCAGCGACAGCCCCAGAACATCACTGCTCTAGAGGAGATCTGCATGGAGGAATGGGCCAAAATACCAGCAACAGTGTGTGAAAACCTTGTGAAGGCTTACAGAAAACGTTTGATCTCTGTCATTGCCAACAAAGGGTATATAACAAAGTATTGAGATGAACTTTTGTTATTGACCAAATACTTATTTTCCACCATATTTTGCAAATAAATTCTTTAAAAATCAGACAATGTGATTTTCTGGATTTTTTTTTCTCATTGTTGAGGTATATCTATGATGAAAATTACCGGCCTCTCTCATCTTTTTAAGTGGGAGAACTTGCAATATTGGTGGCTGACTGAATACTTTTTTGACCCACTGTAAGGAGCTCATTTTGAGCCTGGATCCATATTTATTTCTGATTCTGTTGTGTTCAATATTGGTGTCTAAATAAATACAGAGAGAGGTACCTCTGTGTATTTTCATGGGGTCACAGGCTGAAATGTTCACAGCAAACTAGCTGAGCTCTGTTTTAGTTTTTACCATGTCAGCCTGTGTGGAGACGCGAAGCCACAGCGAGTTGATCCCACTTGAGGTAAGAACCGAGAGGTGAGGAGCCAGAGCGCTGCATGTTGCCAAGGCGATCTCCTTCTGAAAGCCGCTGCAGGACGACAGCACCGCCGCCAGGCTGCAGTCAGGAGACTTCAGCTGGTAGAAAACCTGCAGAGATCGGCCGCCGTCACACAGACGTAGAGCAGGAGGCGGAGCCTGTCTGCTCCAGAAACGGGAACAAAGAACTCACCTCGGTGCATCTAATGGTGCGGCTGTGCGACTCAAACTCTGTGTCCTGCTCCATCCTCACGCTGGGGACGCCGTCCAGGGGTCTCCCATCGACTCCACTGGTTTTACTGGAACAGCAGCAAAGATGATAAGAGCATCAAATAAAAGCTACAGACACAAATTGAACATTCGCTTTGAGTAAAACTTGCTTATTGAAAATTTAAAAAGCCCCTTTCACCGGGGGTCTTCAACGTTTTCCAGACTCCCTAATTATATATATATTATATAAAATTTTTATTTTATAATTGTGTTCTATCAAACTGGTCCTATAGTCACTCTTACAGATGGAGTAATGTAACTAAAGTAATTTCTCCCTGGGATTATTAAAGTAATTCTGATTCCTGGTTGATGGGACAGGTGTTGAGAATGAAACGGTGCCCAGCTTGAAAGAGCTCCTGTGTGTCGCTGAATGTGTGCATTGATGACTGAAAGACATCTTCTGCCTCCATTTATCTGTTTACTACAGTGTGTTGAATTCATGTTAAAGTGTATTTAGAGACAGTTCAATGAGTGGAATGCAGGGGGGAATATAAAATAAAACTTTTGCGACCCCAATACAGTACCTCTGAATATGTTTTAGCATCCAATGAATATTCTGAAATAATCTGGTCAGTAGGGGGTTGTGTTGTTTCTCAAGTTTAGTATAAAGAAGTAAGGAGAGACTGGAGAACAGCCTGGAGCTCACAAAGGAGCAGCAGGGAAATCAGAACCAACGTCCGGCTAAGGAAGATATCGGAGAAGTCCGCCGGGGGAGAGAGCCAGAGCCAGACCGGGGAGAGATGGCGGCAGCTGGACTGGAGCTAAGGAAGGAAGACCAACACTCCCTCTAGGCAAAATAAAAACGTATTTTTCTTAAGCCACCTATAAACGTCTTCAGAGCATCCCATACTTCCTCCTTTTTCAGTGCATTTTGCAGTTGCAGTGGCTCCTGCGAGGTAAAGGTTGATTCTTTTTCTTTCAGAATGAAATAAGAATCTTCAGTTTGACATGTTTACATGAAATCATTTTAATCTGATCAGGCCTTTAATCTGATTATTTGTATCCATATGTAGCTACGGTATTCTCAGCGCTGTTCCAGTCTGATCCCTCTTGGAATCAAATAGTTTTTTTGTCATTTTTCTAACCATATTTTTCTTCATTATTTCCACAATTCGTGTCACTACCTGATCCGTCACGGAAGCACGATCCGTACCATCAGTTCGTTTAGACAACCAGATAAACATCCAGGTCGTCCTCGGCTTTAATTCGGCCTAAGTTACGTTTTTCTCTCCCCAAAAATAGAAACTACGTAAAAGTTTAAAAAAGAAGACGTTTCGCCACCTCTCCAGGAAGCTTTCTCAATTCAAATGTCTGGATTCGCAGTGAGTTTGAGTCTTTATATACACAAGACCTTGTATTGCTTGCAAACATGCAAATTGAGACCGATGAATGGGTCGTTTAGTTCCATTGTTAGCCTGTAATATCTGAAACCTGTCTATGATTCTGAAGGTCAGTCGTTAAAGGGGGGGATTGAATTGACAAAGCTTCCTGGAGGGGAAGCAAAACGTCTTCAAATCTTGGAAACCAAGTGGATTGTTTTTTAAACTTTTACGGAATAACTATGAACTGGATGATTGAAAATCCTAATCAGCAAAAATAGAAACTGTACTAAACTATAATGTGTTAAAGGTTAATAATGTATTTCCTGAGAAAATAAATGCCTTAAAATCCTGTTTTATCACTCGTCTGTGCTGGAAATGGGAAAGTACAAGAAGTACTTTCTTCCCTAAAATGAGGAATGTTGAGCATGATGTGAAGTTATACTGTGGTTCTGGTTTAATAAGGAAATAAGGAAATCTTTTAACACCAGCATCAAATTGGGCAGAAAGTCAAAGTGGACTCTTTATTCTCATAATATTACGACTTTATTTTCGAAATTAAATAAAAAAAATCTCTAGCCTGGCCCTAATACTCCGTCTTAGGAAACACGCCTGTTAAGGTAGTTTAAAGTCTATTTTATGTAAATCTTATGTCTTGCTTGATCTGACAGAACACCTGACTGCTCTGATCATGTCCCATGATGATGTCAGAGAAGCTGTTATAATGGAGAAAATGTAAAAAGGACCAATTTGTCTCAGAAAAGATGTTTTAAAGATGTGTATTAGCATTCTTTAGTGATTTAACGACAGAAATAAGCACTTTTAGTGCAATTATTTAAATTATTTATGGGAACCTGGATGAATATCTGCTTGCACGTGTGCAAATGAGCCGTTGGTATGGATTGGGCTTCTGGGACGGAGTGGGTAGTGACACTTCACTGAATAAATGCTAACTGGCTTAGCCGCAGTAGGCTAGTCCCTTGTTTACTCGCTGAACACGTGCTGTGTGGATCCTTTGTTGTGAATAGAAACAAGGGACAGATCTGAGGTCTCCCATTTGATTCAAACAGCCAAAATGGTGTCTGCAGTGGGAACGGGCCTTAGAATCAAACCAAGTCTGTGAAGGTTAGCCCTGCTGGAGGATCATTTAGTTCATTATTACTTTTATCTTGTATCATTAGCTGGATAATAGTAAAGCTGCAGAGTAAATGTTCCAATACCCCGAGTTAACAGGCGAGGTCCAGTCAACCCAGCGAACCGTGACGTTCTCTTTGACTTCCCCGCCGTCATTCTTGCCGCAGGGTATGTCGAAGTCTGTCTGCTCCCTCAGGGCGGAGCGCAAAGACTCCATGGTTTCCCGTGGGATTTGAACCATCAACCCATCTGAAAAGAAAAATAACCAGAGATAGAGGCATATGGAGTGAATTTTGTTTCATTACTGTTCCAAACACAGAACATGTTTTGTAAATGAAAACTGTTTTTCACTTTTCACACGTCTCCACAGCTTTGATTTCCATCGTGCCGAGCTTGAATGACTTCTTGCTTAAAATACGCCATTCCTCACATACGTTACCTGGTACTGATTTAAGCCGTGCAAAAAAAACTTTAAAACAGGATAGACAACTTTCGTTGAATTTACACTTCCCCACGTTCAGATAAAAATGTATTGGTGCATCACCCCAAGGTCTGTTTGCAGCATCATTTTTATTGGTTCTGCTCTCAGGATGGAACTAATAATGCTTTAAGCTAAGCCGTTCAGTAAATGTCAAAAAATGATCAAGAATTATTTTATTTTTTGTTATAAATTATAAAAATAAAATCCTATTTATGACCTGGTGACAATTTAAAGACCTATGAAAGACTGATTTAATACATTTTAATACCAACTAAGGCTTTATTTTTCTAAGTATTAAGTATTCAATGCCCTTTAAGACTTTTTAAGGATCCGCAGGAACCCTGGATGACCAGTTTCGCCACTATACCAGCTAAGTTTCTATTTTCTATTCTGTATTTAGCTATAATAACATGTAAATGTAGTATTCAAAGTTAATTCAGTATTTCAACCAACAAAATGCTGAAAAGCTATACATATTTTTTTGTGTTTTGTTTTTCATTTGCATGATGTGCTCACAGCTGAGTTGCTAGGTTGTTCTTATGTTTGTGATTCATTCAAATCAAAGTTTACAATCTAGTAAATTTTTGTGTGGTGGGACGATAAAGCCCTAATCAAGAAAAGATTATTGTTTATAGACACTTTAAGCAGGTCCTGAAAAACTGAGGGTGTAAAACTGAGGCATTTTTTTCAGGCGGCTCAGAACGGCATCGGAAGTGAACAACATCACAGAGAAGAATGCAGAAATACATTTATGTTTCCCAGTGAAACAAGATAATTCTGTAAAAACTGTGTTTTGGTCTGCATGGATGATGGCAGCAACATTCCTATTGCGAGGGAGCGTTTGGATTGATGTGAAGAGAATGTGATGAAAATGCAATTTAAATCGATCAGAATTATAAAACTCAATCTGACACGCTTGAAAAAAATCTATATATATATATATATATATATTAGGGATGGGACGATTTATGAAAACCGTCAGAATCGTTCGGTTCGACTGTCTCGGTTCGGTTCGCGTGTGTTGCGTTCGGTTCATGCGCTGCTCCTTTTTCTCATAGGCGAAGCGTTTACACTCCAGAGCAGAAGGTGGCGGTACTGCGACCAAAGCCAACCACCAGTAGTAAACAAGAAGAAGAAGAAGCGAAGCAGCTTAGCCGGGTGTAGCAGGTAAAAAATCAGTTGTTGTGGAGAATTGTGTCGGACTGGCGAGTGGAAAAGAACAGGAGTTGGAAGACGCGCCAGCAGCACTTTATAGGTCTGCTGTATGGGAGCGCTTTGCATTTAGAGTGACCTACGATGACGGCGGAAAGAAAGTTGTGGATAAAAGTGCAACAGTGTGCAAGCATTGTGCAACACGTTTTGTTTATGCTAACAGCAACATGTCATGCTAACCCCGAAATCCCTCATACTCCGTCAGCGCTCCGCTCCGCCCCGCTGCGCTCCAGACCGGCTGCTCAAAGCAAAGCCTACAGCCTCCACTGTGGCTTCGTCCGCTCCCCTCTGAGTCCCTTGGAGATGGTAGAGAGCATGCGCCAGATGATTAAATTCAAATTAGCAAAACATGTGGAAATGATCCAGGGTTTCTGCGGATCATTTAAAATAATTACAATCCATTATTTTTTGGGGTATTTTTTCATTAATTTCATACATTTTTATGGGATTTCGGTGTAACAATCAACATGTATCGAATCGAACCGAAAACTGTGACCAGAAACCGTGAATCGAACCGAACCGTGGATTTTGTGAACCGTTCCACCCCTAATATATATATATATTATATTAAAGTCGTAGGAAAGCTGCTGTTCCAACGGTTGCATTTCCAAATTCTCCAGAGTGGCGCCCGACTTTACACGAGTAAATAAAGTGAATGTGATTGGTCGTTTTTCAAGGGCGGGACTGTTGTTATGGAAGTTTCGCAAGCAAGTTTGGTTTTGGCCAGTTTGTTGGAAGCATCTTGCTAACCAGTTAGCAACTTAGTGCTAGTAGGTTCCCAATGGGAAATTCCATTGGGACCAAGTAGCACTAAATTGGTGACTTAGAAACGACACTGTCAAGGAACGCTATGGACAGCGGAAACATGCAAGAGGAGGAGAGTTTAGTGTCGGAGGTCGTGGATGAGTCTCCTCCGTCATCCATTTTTTATTTAGTGGAGGAAAGCGGGGATGAAGATGTTGTGGAAGAGGACGCCAGGGCGGCAGAAGCTTGGTTTGGTGTAGAAGGCTTACAGCCGTACACGTTTGAGCCCTTGCCTCGCAACGCTGCCAGTTCTGTTAGCTCTACGCCTGCTGAAGACACAGACGTCCATCCCCGTGAACACTGGGACGCAACTCAATGGGAAAGGAAATGATTCTGATTTCAACCGGTGCGTATATTAGCTGCGATATATGAATCAAGATGCTATGACCGAAAAAATTCAATTGACAGATGACAGTTGATATTTGATTGGCCGAATTTAGGTGTTCAGGCTGACGTATAACTAACTGGCCTGCATAAGATAACAAAAAAAAAACCCCACAGACCAGTGGCGGCTGGTGAAAAATATTTTTGGTGGGGCTGATATAGCCTAGTGTATGTCTCCATCTAATCCGGAATAAGAATTCAAATAAACAATTGGACAATACATACAATTTAACAGTAATGATTTAATTTTCTATATAATAACAGTAACAGTGATGATTTGGGTCACTGTGACGGGGTTCTTTGGCCTCCAAGAATCCAGGCTCATTCGGGTTACGGGTGTTGGTGATTTATTGTGCTCAAAAACTCAAAACAGGGTGCAAAAGAAACTAAACATACAAGATCCTCTGGGCCTCAGCCTCCCTCCAGTTACCAGCAATGTAACTAACAAACAGAAAACAAAAATTGCCGCTTTTCTTCCCACAGCCCTCATTAAATAGTTTAAGCCCCTCACCTCAGGCTCTCTTATGTCTGATTTCTTCTCATTAATCAGTTTTGTCCATATATTACCTCCACAAACAATTGATGTACAAAAACAAATAATTTTTACAACTTAATTCTTTTACACAGATTCATTGACTTAATCAATTACACCAAACTGGGGTTGAACCCAGCAAAGACGCAGCCAGACTGAAGATGACAAGTCCCCATAGCATAAACACGTACACACACACACACACACACACACACACACACACACACACGGCTAACCCCACTGAAATATTAAGTGTGCACCCTCAATATGCCAGCAGGTAACCAGGAACAGCTTGTGTGTTTTAAGTTCATGGAGCTACTGGTCTCAGCGCGAGTGAATTGGTCCTCACAAGCACAGTATAACAGGAATGTGTGTGTGGCGCGCAAAGTTAGAGAGGTTGTTTTAAGCGACGAGGTGGATTCGTCACAGTCACAATAACCATGACATGAAATGTTCATATCCTACAACAGGGATATTCTTCTGGCAAACGGGTAGATAAATAAGGATCTCACCGAATTTGGTGGAAGCTGCATCTCGCTCGTTACATTCGCCATCTTCCCTCTAATTGTCTGCACCTGCGCTTGGGTTCAGAAGCCTGTTAAAGCGCAGTATTTTCAGCGCCCCAAGACCATAAAGTTCCGAGACGCTGATTGGCCATTAAATTCACCTAGCAATAGTACATGATTGACAGATTCTCTGCAAATGTGGGTCAGTCTGATCACAGCCCCCAGAACAGAGACGGTAGGAGTCTGTCTGTGGAAATCCACAAATTAATGACAGTAGATAGGGAAATGTAGTTTATATAATTTGTTTTGCTTATAGGTACACAGTCTAGAGAGTAAAACTGACATTTATGAGTTAATTTCTAAAAATATATTTTACGTTTCTCCCTTCTTATCAGGGGGGGCGGTGCCCCAGCGCCCCCTATGGGCCGGCCGCCACTGCCACAGACTTTAAGACAGGATTTTTTTTTAATAGAAATATTCTACATTTTGGGACAATATGGTCTGATAAAGAGTACATTTAGTTATATGTTTAAGCCAGAATGATTTGACATTCAAATATGACTTTCCTACGACTTTAAAAAAGTAAAAAATTTAATAAAAAACAAAATATGAAAAGAATCATTTCGAAACAATGCAATCGAAGAAAACAAAAGTTAATAATGAGAAGTTTAATTTCTGTATTTTTTCTTTTTTTTCATTAACAAAACGTGTTCTTTGCATGCAACAATGATGAAACAAATGTTACTCCATAGAGGCAGAGCAGCTTTACCTTCCACGATGCTGGACTTGGCGATAAAACCTGACGAGGCTTTTAGCGCTCCGTTAAACACCACGAAACTGGCCCCAGTCACTGTTGAAACAAAAACGTAAAAACATGATATACCGCCCAGCGCCGTGCTGACGGCTTTCCAGCGGCGCACTGACCTGTGCGAGTTTCCCCCGGCTTGCTGTTGGCTTGAGTTTGATAGTTTCCCTCCTCGTTCTGGAAACAGACGAGGTGAGAGTCGGCCTCCTGGCTGAAGCTCGCTCCGATGCTGATGACATGCTCGTTGGATGAGTTCACCACCTTCTGCATCTGTGGGAGAACAGAGACTTAGACTTATTTTGTCATTTTGTACATAAAAGTGTAAACAAAGAGACATTTTTTTTAAGAAAACCTCTGTGGACAATTTCATTTTTTTTGCAGCCTTGAAAACAGTAAAAAAAAAAATACATAAAAACGGTAATATAAACATATGACTGTATATTTAAAGTTCTAACATTTCAGTTTTTATTTCATAAAACCACTTCTGTCTCTATTTAACCGCTTTACTTTTTTAAGTCTTTGGCTTCAATCACTTCAGAGGTTCATCATTTTAATGTTCGTTAAATGTTCGCCGACAATCTGACCTGCATTAACAAAACAACACTAATAACCCACAGCTATGGAGTGAATCATGTTCCATTAATATTTTATTCTATTTTTTTCACACAGACTTTTTAGTATGTTTTTGTTTTTAGATTTAGATTTTACAATTTGCGATCTTTTCAAACTGCATTCCTCAGATCTACACCTCATTATTTCAAGCCCAATACAAAAGGTCTTGAGCATTCAGCTCTCTCTGGTGCTAAGGAACCACAGCGGTAGATCAGAGGAGCCCATCGTGGGAACAGCGTGACAGAGCAGGGAGATCAAGAGCCTAGATCAAGAGCTGAACGAGGCTAGCTGTGGAGGATTGAAGGAGCATGGTGAAAGATCGGGTAAGTCTGGGAAAAGGAAGCTGAGGGTGGGGGAGAGGCTACTGCTGACAGCTGTAGTTTGGAGAATGAGCAGGGAGAGGCTACGACTAGCAGAGGCTGGCCGCTAGAGCAGGAGGAACCAAGTAAAAACCAGCAGGGTCCGAATAAAGAAAATCAAAAACCATTAAAAGTTCTGGAGATATTTTTAAATATTATCTGTTACTTTAAACAGAATTTAACACTGAAATAAAATGAGGTTTTTATGCATCCATGTTATACATTGACTTTTTAAATAAAGAAATATAATTTAAAAAATTGAAAATTTGTTAAGTACGACATCGGAGCCTGCTGAGTAGGGGAGTAGGGATAAAAAAAAAAATATTTAGCAATAGATTGTGATTTTTTTCGGCTGCCGGATATAATATTGTTCTTTCAGTTCCTAATATAAAACAAAAAACGACAATTTTTAACTAAAACAGGGTTTTCACGGGTCATTTAAAAAATCATTAAAACTCATTAAATTATTATGTGATTAAAAATGCTTTATTTAAAATGTTAAAAAAGGTTTTTAAAAACAATTACGTCAGATATATCGCAATCTATCTCATTCCTGTATAAACCCTGTAAAACAAAGAAAGGAAATATGGCAGACAGCGCTGTGGAGCCTTTTTGCTGCAGCGCCAAATCTGTAGCTGAGGCAGTGGAAGACGCGACTGACTCAAACCCCAAACAACATGGATACCAACATAATTAAATTATCAATATCTTTTGATGAACATATACAGCACTTGCTTTTTTACAGGGTTCCTACAGCATAAGGCAAGTTAAATTCAAGACTTTTTAATGCCACTTGAAATAAAAATTTAAGACCAAATTCACAAGAAACACAAGAAAAACCCACCTGTGACAACTTAACCCAAAGGTTTATTTTAACAACAAACCACTGCACTAATGTTTCAAATTGTGAAAAGCTTCCCATACAGGAAGAAAGCTAAAAACACACAAATGACAGATATATTTTAACAATTATTTAACTGAATTCACAAACTTTGTTTTAGCAGGGAACAAAACAAATCAGTTTTAAAGCCACAACATAACCAGTGCTAAGTCTTTTTTGCAGCTATTTTTCTTTGTATCATTTTCTTTGTATGTTTGATTTGCTGATAAGTGGAGGCGTTGCAGAGACAAGGGTGGAACAAAACTGAGAAATACCAGCTGTTTCTCGGTAACTCCATTTTGACGCTTTGTGTTTCGTGCTTCGCATGTGCGACTCCACTGGGTTAATTCCCATCGTTCCGAGCTTGAATCGCTTCTTGCACAAAATACGCTGAGCCTTATGTGTGTCCCCTGGTTTTAGCCATGGAGAAAACTCTTGGCTGGAGCCAATTTTCGTTACATTTACACTTGCTCATATTTTCCAGACAAAAAGTTAATGGTGCATCTCCCAAATGTCCCGGCCGCAACAAGGCTTTTATTGGTTCCGCTATCCGTACGGAACCAATAATGGAGAGCCGTTATTTTTTTTTTTTTTATAAAAAGAAAAAAAAAATGTCAATTTTAACGTTTTATTTAGATTACAAAAAAAAAAATCGAGATAAAAATATTCCTATTTATGATGTATTAAGACCAACGAAAGACTGATTTAAGACATTTTAATACCAATTAAGGCCTTAGTTTTATTTTGAAGAATTCAATGCCTTTGAAGACTTTTTAAGGACCTGCGGGAACCCTGTTTTATCACTACATTTGATTTTGATAGCTGGGAAAAATATGGCAATATAAAGTGATATCGCAATATTGTGATAATATCGTATTGTGACTCAAGTATTGTGAGACGTATCGTATCTCAACACCCTCTCTATCGTCCATTTTGATTAAAAAAGCTAATCTCTGCTGCTTCTTTCATCAATTGATGATACGTTCTCATCTACCATTTTGATACCCAATGATAAAATGTCTATCTACATCATACAGCAGTTAGAAAAATTGGTATTTGCTGATCACAATAATGTGATCGGCAGACACATTTTTGTGTTCGGCAGACGCTGATTTTTGTGTTCGGTAGATACCGATTTTTGTGTTCGGCAGACACAGATTTTTGTGTTCGGCAGACTCCGATTTTTGTGTTCGGCAGACACCGATTTTTGTGTTCGGCAGACACCGATTTTTGTGTTCGGCAGACACAGATTTTTGTGTTCGGCAGACACCGATTTTTGTGTTCGGCAGACACCGATTTTTGTGTTCGGCAGATATCGATCATTGTGTTCGGCAGACACTGATTTTTGTGTTCGGCAGATACCGATCATTGTGTTCGGCAGATATCGATCATTCTATTTGGCAGATACCGATTATTGTGTTCGGCAGATACCGATTATTGTGTTCGGCAGATACCGATTATTGTGTTCGGCAGATACCGATTATTGTGTTCGGCAGATATCGATTTTTGTGTTCGGCAGATACCGATTTTTGTGTTCGGCAGATACCGATTTTTGTGTTCGGCAGATATTGATTTTTGCGTTCGGCAGATATCGATCATTGTGTTCGGCAGATATCGATTATTGTGTTCGGCAGATATTGATTATTGTGATCAGCAAATACCAATTTTTGTGATAGGCAGACACTGATTTTTGTGATCGGCAGATGCGGATTTTTGTGAACAGTGATTTGCTTCCAAAATTTTCGGTGCACATCAAGTTCTTTGCTTGCAACAATAATTGAACAAAATTCACCCCATACTTATTCCATCCTAAAAGAGTTTTAGAGTATTGGGCTGATGTTTTCAGCACCAAATTGAGGGCATCTTTAACAGGAAAAGTCATGTTTACCTCGCTAAAGCTAGCCTTGGGGATCTCTATGTAGCTGTGTCCCATCTCCATATGGATCCTCAGGCCTTCCACCACTGACAGGCTGTACTGGTAGTTCCTCAGGTCCTGGAGGAAGACCGTCAACACATCATCAGTCAATCAGAGGCTGTTCTGGTCTGTGCCGTCTCATTAAATGCCTTTTTAAGGTTTATATAAAATATGTTGAGGGAGTTTTTATAAGGACTTTTTAATAAAGTAGGGCTGCAATTGGAAGTTATCTTTACAGTCATTCATTATTTTTCATGACCTCCAGCATCACGTTCTTTATTAAAAAATTAGACTTTAGTTTAAAGTCAAATGTAGGGGTGCACCAATTGGAGGTCTCATTTCCGATCATTAAAAAGCCTTAAATGTTGAGACACAAGTTGACCATTACTGATTTCTTTCACTATGGGTGACCATTTAAAATGTAGGTTGTTTTACTCACAGCCAATAAATTCATGATGGTGTGTCCCGTCTCTCGATACACTGACTCCCGAAATCGGACACTTATCAGCGTAGTGGGATACACTGGAAAACCCCGCAAACATGATTAGTCTGTAGCTAATGGTGTCTAAGCATCACGTCCACATAACAACAAACACAGCAAAAAACACACTGTCGTATTCAGCTCCGAGCCGCAGGAGCAGTCTGAGCGGGAACACTTTGGCCCAAGGGACCTCCAGTTTCTGGACCAGGAGGCCAAACAGGAACGGTTGGGGGGGCAGCGTAAGGCCATCCAGGGGCTGACAGGTGGGGGCGAAGAACAGCATCCCGGCGTGATCTTTGCTGTCCAGGAAACTGCTGGTGAACGTGACGTTATCCAGCTCCTCCACAAACTTCCCTGCAATGGGGAAAAAATAATAATAATAATCAGGATTTCTGTTGTTTTTTTCCCCGAGACGCCTCCTGAAACGCCCCAGAAAAAGTGAATGGGTTACCTTTCTGGGCATCCTGGTAAATGGTGAGATAAAGAGAGAAGAGGTCTCTGGGAAGCGTTTTTTCTCCCGACAAACATTCCAGCAGAAAAACCAGCTCCTTCTGCCCGAGAGCCTGCAGCCCGTTGGAGCCGAAGCACCAGCACTGCCTGCTGCCGTCTGTGGGAACGAGCTGTAGTCAAGATGTTTGGTGTTTCAGGACAGAAGCTGAAGGTTAGCTCTACTCACATGTGACCAGTTTGACATTTATCAGCAGGTTGGCATTCAGAACAAAGGTCAAAGGGCGCGGCCCTCCTTCCTCCAACAGGTGTCGAATCTGACAGGGGGCTGGACTCTCCTCCACCAGAACATCTAGGCGACAGAGATGAGTGAGGGAAAGATTTCAGAGGAAGAACGTCTCTGATGGTCTGTTTAAACAGAACATACAGTTTTCTCTGCTTTTGCTGGTTCAAGAACCCAAAGAAGCAGATTTGGAGGTTGAAAATTATTAAACTAAGTCTAAAAGAAGCAGCAATACAAGAGTCATATTCTTTAACCTTTCCTGTTGCTTAAAATACAAACACAACATTTAGGCAAAGATAAACCGGAAAGTTTTAGTATCTTTGTGTAATTTCTTTGCTTGGTATAGTTTTAGCTTTTTTTAAATCTACAATACCTTATCAACCTGTTTTCTACAGAAATCAGAAAATTTCAATAACATACTGCCAGCTTAGTTTACAGTTGAGCAGGTAAAACTTAAAAAAAAGTGTTAAAGTATCATCTAAATATGCCCATTTAGCCGTGCTGCATGGAGGAGCAACGTAACTTCTCTGCTGTGCTTAAAGACAAAGATGTGAATAGTGGAGAGCTTTACAGATGGTTTGCAACATTACAGAAAAAGAAAAGGCGGCAACATAATTATATATCAGGAAGGATTTTATGATTTAATGCACTTAAAGTTTTAGTTGAACCACCTGTTTAAAAGCACTATTGAATCACAGTCTCTCCCAGCTGACTGTTGGAGCTAAATCACAGTTAGTCTCCAACTGGTTAAAACAAAGTGATCTGACAGCAAACAAAGCCACATACTGCGTCTTTTCATTTTTTACTTCTCTGTACAGCATTTTTTTAAATAAAGAAAACACTAATAAGTTCCTGTTGCATCAAAAATCTTACAAACAAGTTTAATAATATGTAAAAAAAAATATATGTTTCTGTTATTTCAGTCATTATTTCCTATAGCTGGCAAAACAAATTATTATATCATGATCTTCTACTTTTTTTTTAAATTAAGCAGATTGTTTTAATGTTCAAAGAGAAATCTTAGGTTTTTTTTTTTAATTGGCTGCCGACCAATTAATTTTGAATTGATTAATAAAATAGATCAACTTCAGATTAATTTGTCATTCAATAACCTGAATCAATGCGCCAAACTGCTTCCAGCAGCTCTCTGCTTCCCAGTATGTATTTTCTCTAAGAGAAAGTTAAACGATCCTGAAACTGTATACCTATGATTGTTTATAAAATCCAACATTTTAATAATAAATTTTTTTTTTCTTTTTTTTACACTTTTTACCTAAATAAGGAAGTTAAAGAGTTTTGAGGGTTTCAAAATGGAGCTCATAGCACCCAGTTTCTCTGTTTCTTAGTGAGCTCGTCATTCAAATAAAAATACCTGATTTACAAGAAGAAGTTGGTTTAAAAGTAGGATTTAACTAACTTCATAATTTGAGCAAATAAACATGATCTTAAAATTGATATTTTAGACTACATGATATCATTTGAATGCTTGAATAGCTTTTCCTGTTCAGATATTGCATTTTCTAAGGCTTTTTGGCAATTAACTTTCTAAACCAGGGGTCTTCGATGTTTTCCAGGCCAAGGACCCCCAAACTGATGGTGAGATGGAGCGAGGACCCCTTAATTATATATATCGTATGAAATTTTGTTATAAAAACTGGTCCTATAGTCACTCTATTACATATGGAGTAATGTAACTAAAGTAATTTCTCCCTGGGATTATTAAAGTATTTCTGATTCTGATTCCAGCTTGAAAGAGCTCCTGTGTGTCTCTGAATGTGTTCATTGATGACTGACAGACATCTTCTGCCTCCATTTATCTGTTTACTACAGTGTGTTAAATTCATGTTAATGTGGCTTTAAAGACATTTCAAATAGTGGAAAAAATTGCAGGGGGAATGTAAAAAAAAAAAGTCTAATCAATCAAAACTTTTGCGACTCCCCATACAGTACCTCTGTGGACCCCTAGGGGTCCCCCCTGTTGAAGACCTCCATTCTAAACCTTAAAATACTTTGAAAGGGTTTATACAGGAATTAGTAACTCTAATTTAATGCTTCTTAATGGTCTTTTAATCCTTAAATAATTTTAAGGCCGTCAACAAGAACCCATGACTCTCACATGTATATATATATATATATATATATATATACCTGATATATCTGACGAAATTGTTTTTGTGAGCTTTTTTTTTTTTTTAATAAAGCATTTTAAATAAATAATAAATCAATGACCTGCGGAAACCCTGTTTGACTTTGCTAGTCCTCAGGCGTTCGGTTCTTAAATCTCAGCTGAGACAGGAACTATTTAGCAGCTCCCGAACCAGAACTGGTGGCAGTGATGAGAACAGAGATCAGGTATTGAACGAGCATCAATACCCGTTTAGAACAAGAACAAATTATTAATCTCTATTTCTAATTTGAGAACCTCAGGCCCACCTTCTCCGTCATCCTCCCCGGTGGTGATGAGCAGAGGAGGCAGCTCATCCTCGTTGTCTGGAAGCAGACTGGCAATCCTGCTCACCGAAGAACCGATCCCAGAAAGCAAGCCGTAATCCCAGGGCCCAGAAACCGGCGCTCGCTCCACCGGCGCGGCTCCGGGGGCCTCAGAGCCGGATGGTTCATCACCTCCAGGGTCAGATCCAGCTGAGCCGGGCTGCAATAAGAGGCAGCGTCAGGGATGATCAACAGAGACTGAAAACCAAAACGCTAACCAAACGCAACACGACAGATTCCAAAACATTTGGATCAAACTAAACGGCTGCAGAGCAGAGAGATGCTGGATCATTTTTAAAACACAATCTATGTTCTGAAGATCTATGAAACTGTAGTGACGCCACCTTTCAATCAAACCTGGACCCTTTATAGTAGCCAACCAATCTGTGATCACTAATTGTGCAGAAGTGAAAGGTCTGTTCTCAGTCTCGGAAGCTGAGCGGACCCGCCACACTGCAAAAAAATTAAATCTACATAAGTCATTTTTTCTTAAAATAAGCACATTTTTTTCTTTAATTGAGAAGGAAAGTGAGACAATTTGCCAATAGAACGAGACAATTTGCATTTAAAATAAGAAAACACAATTGCATTGTCTTATTTAAAGTGCATATTATCTATTTATCTTATTCTAAGAGTGAAAATATTCATTGCATTAGCAAACTATCTCATTTACCTACTCAAATTAAAGCTACAGTGTGTAATTTTCAGCGACATCTAACGTCCAGACTGCAGACCGCAGCAACATGAACATCTCCCCCCCACCGCTTCTCCCCCCCAACAGTACGGCGAGCGTTACGGGACAAAATGTCTTCCACGACGTCCGCATCACCTACCTTCTCAAGTGATGAGGTTTGTTTACATAGATAATTTTAATACTTCCATCTATTGTTCAGTACCGTCTCAGTTCATCTCTCTCAACTTGCCGTAGTTACTTTCGAGCGTAATGGTCGATCTCGCAATCGCTAGTTTGTTGGCTCTGCGCTGCCGTAGCGCAAAGATGTCTGCCTCCATGGCTGCGAGACCCGCTCCTTTGTAATTAGAAATAACGAATTCTAAGGCAACGCAATTATTAAGGTTAAGAGGCTGAGCTCGTAGATGATGATAAATAACATAGTTATGTATAATATATTACATTTCTGACTGTATATCCCTGTAATTATTACACACTGTAGCTTTAAGGTTAAATACACCTAATTTAAGAAATTTTTACTTATTGGTAGATCATTTTTCCAGTGGAAACATGTGATTCAGACCCTCGTTAAAGAACGGAACGCAGTTTATTCTGTTCCCGAAACCAAACGGGAGTCTTAAAAGAATGTAAATGATGCCGTACTGCTGCCGTCACACCAAGTGTAGTGGACACGCATCTAAGAAGTGTCAAGAAGTTCTGCGACGCATCTCTGCTATCCGCCGCATTGAGACGTGCTTTACATTTTGAAATGTGTATGAAGACGCCTGCGTTGGAAATTTCGAACCCTTGCTGCTCGACACGCAGCGTAAAGCAATCCGAGGAGCATTTCACCACGAATGCTGGTTACACTGAAGGTTTACAAAATTAATCTGTAACGAGGCCAATACTATGGAGACATGTTTATGTCAGAAAATTGGCGTGATAACAGGAACCCTGCATCCTTAAGAATCATTGACTCCACCTTCGCGCTGTCTTCAGTTCATCCCTTTAGTTTTATATGAAAAAAAAACATTTTAAAGTCGTAGAGAAATCATATTTAAATGTCAAAAAATTCTGGCTTAAACATGTGCTCTTTATCAGACAATATTGTCCCAAAATATAGAAAATTTCTATTTAAAAAACAATCCTGTCTTAAAATCTGTGTTTTTTCCGTTATCTTATGCAGGCTAGTTAGTTATACATCAGCCTGAACACCTAAATTCGGCCAATTATATACCAATGGTTATACATGTACGGCTGGAAGCCTTCTACACCAAACCAAGCTTCTGCCGCCCTGGCGTCCTCTTCCACAACATCTTCATCCCCGCTTTCCTCCTCTAAATAATGGATGACGGAGGAGACTCATCCACGACCTACGACACTAAACTCTCCTCCTCTTGCATGTTTCCTCTGTCCATAGCGTTCCTTGACAGTGTCGTTTCTAAGTCACCAATTTAGTGCTACTTGGTCCCAATGGAATTTCCCATTGGGAACCTGCTAGCACTAAGTTGCTAACTGGTTAGCAAGATGCTTCCAACAAACCGGCCACAACCAAACTAGTTTGCAAACCTTCCGCCACAACAATCCCGCCCCCTTAATAAACGACCAATCACATTCACTTTATTCACTCAGGCATGGGCGTAGGTTTGCATAGGGACCATAGGGACATGTGCCTACCAAAATTTTGGAAGGACCTATTTGTCCCTACCAATAATTGGATGTGAAAAACATGTTTATAATTTACTATACAGCAGCCGCTTCTTTTCCTCTCGCAGCTTCTCTGCCTGGTAGCTGCAGCTGCCTGCTCTTTCCTGTCCCTTTCACATAGCAGCGCATCATCTGTGCTGCACGGTTTAACTCTCTGATTATTCTGCATAAGTTCCGCCTTCTCTCTTTCTGATTGCGTGTTTTCTAGTCTGTATGTGCGCGAGCGCGGGTGCTTGAAGCGCGAAAAAAAAGACGCTAAAATAAATTAATATTGGGCTACGAAACTAGTCCGAATTAAAAAATATATTATCTACGCTAAAACAGGCGAAAGCTTCTAATTGGAATTCTGTAAAGAAGCAGGAGAGAGTTTTTTGATTTGTGGAACTTGAAAAATGTAAGTTAACAACGTTAGGATTTCTTTTATTTTATCTTTTAATCAGATAGCCAAAGGCTCCTTAAAGAAGATCTTTTATGAAATTAAACCAGGTGAAACAGAAACGTTTTAACGTTTCCTTTGGAGGAGTTCTGGATGGAGAATATTGACAGACAAAAACTATTTTTTTTACTTCTTAAATGCAAAATGTTTACATATATTTTACAATCTTGGTATCAGCGGCGTAGGAAGCGGGGGGGACGGGGGGGACATGTCCCCCCCCAATATAAAAGCCAGGTGGATATGTCCCCCCCAAAAAATTGTACCGCAACATATTATTTTGACATTTTTTTTAACTAGCGTGCTTTTATTTTGAAGGCGCAGCATAGCGTTACGTCACTGTACTCCCCCTCCCCTCTCTGAACTGCTGTGTGTTTGAAGGGAGGGAAACGGCGACACAGAATTCAGAAACTTGTGAATGAGGTAAAATGGTCTTATGGGACAGCTGCTATGAATATTGCCTATTTATAACGTCTTGTCAGTTCACTTTCATATATAGAAACTGAATCTTTTTGGTTTAGTCATCTTAGTCTTGTACGGAAGAGGATTAGAGCCACTGAAAAAAAAAGGTTAACTGATTTTTACTTTTTTATTTTTAGTTTAACAAAAAGTCAGAATTCTGACTTTTTTCTTCTGACATTTTTTCTCATAAATCTGACAGATGATTAATATTTCTAATTTTTCTCTTTTTTTGGGGGGGGGGGGTACTATACAGATATGACTAAAAAATAACCAGAATATATGTTTAGAGTAAAGATTGACTACTTGTGTTTACACAAGCACACAATTTCAAATCTGCTGAGCTTGCTGTGCAAGAAAATGTAAAATATACGTTTAAAGAAATATAACAGGAAGTACTGCTAAAACATAAACTAAATGTTAAATAATGTAGATATTGGTTTAAAAAATTCTTCAGATTTGGAAATTTGGAAGGAATACATAATTTTGAAATTAATCAACAAATCTGGTAAAAAAAAAAATTAAAAGTTGCACTTTTTTACTTGAGGAATTTGTTGAATCACTTCATAATTGTGAGTTTAACTAGTTGGAGGTAATGCTACACTTCTCTGCTTACTGTCCTGCTCATAAAAGGTAAACATTATAAACCCACCATTCATTTTCTACACTATTTGGAAAACACAACACAAATGTAATATAACAAAATGTTAACATCAAGCCATAGCCATGTCTGTTTTAGAGACTAGCTCTCTTGTTTTAATGACCTTCTGCTCCTCCATTAATGAGGGGACCCCTCGGGCACGTAAAAAGTTGCCTAATTCTGTCATTTTCCACCAATGTGTCACTAGCCAACTCAAACAACTCACATCTTTGTCAGTGAAGCTGAGTGCTCCACATCTCTTCCTTCATGGTGCCTATCTACATTAAGATCCACAATTCTGAGAAAAAAAAGTCAGAATTCTGGGATTAAAGTCAGAATTCTGAGAAAAAAAGTCTTAATTCTGAGAAAAAAAAGTCAGAATTTTTTTCCCATATTAAACTGAAATAAAATGTAAAAATCACTTAACTTTTTTTTTTTCAGTGGCCCTATCCTCTTCCGTAGTCTTGGGCTGATCACCCATCCAATATTTAACTGCTAACTTTCTCTAGACGTTTGCCACGCTAGCCAAAATGTTTTTTGTTTTTTTTTATATATATATCTCATTTCAGTACAATGCCACCACCAACTAAAAGGCTGAAACAGCAGCAGGACTTACTCAGATTTTTTTTAAAAGAGAAACGTCAGTGTGAGTAACAGTCACCTAACACAACTTGTGTTGAAATTAGCCCGGTCTGGGCGTGCGTTTTACGAGGATTTTTTATTTTCGTGGTTTTGATTCCTCGAAATGGACAGATGTTATACCTGCCGTGCTCCTGATCGTTAGTTAAAACCACAGGGAGAATTCATTTTAATTCTTAGCAGCAGCGGTCGCATTGGTTGTGCAACCACTAATTAACCAACTAATTAACTTCTGCACCTTTATTTCCTCAAATAAACTGCTGGCTCCTCTTTTTAGACTATAAACAGATTAACACAACATTGACAACTCTGTAGTTTTCTCTGTTCTGTACTGCAAACTGGAATTAAAGGCGCCATTTCTACCAAAGGTCTGGACAGACTGGCCACCTGTCTAGGGTGGACCCCACACCAGCACCTCCCGACCCCACTAAGGGACAGGGTGCACAGAAAATGGAAGGATAGATGGATTTCTACCAAAGATTTAGAATGCGTTTTTGAACCAGATGCTTCAAAGCGCCTGTCCATAATTCTTCAACACACCGTCAGCTCCCTCTGTCAGTCAACCTATATAAATTCATTTTTGACCATTATTGCAAGTTTGACAAAATAAAACATATCAAACTTTGCACTTCTGTGGCCTACTGAATTGTTTTTAATCAAACTGAAATATTTGATTTTCTAATGCGTATGCGGACACTAAATATGCCAAGGGCTGAAGCCCTTGAAAGACATCTCCCTTTGCTTAATAAAAGACTCCAGTCATTTTGTTTGGTGATATGCTCACATCTTATGAACAAATGCATTATGTAAATTTTAAATGCATTATTTTTGCAAGACACATTTATAAAGGAATAAAGTAAAAGATTAAATAGCCTTTTTTTTAAGTAGCGTACTTAAGATATGTTTCTGTTGAATATTTACGAATCTCAGATTTCCGACATGTGTCCCCCCCAATTGTAAACATATTCCTACGCCCTTGCTTGGTATAATTCCTGCTCTAAGTGGGTCGCTCTTGTCAGCTAAAGGCACATTTTAGTGGCCCTATACTCCAGTTTACGATTAATCAATTACTAAATTAGTTCACGATTATTTAAATAATTTGTTAATATGATTGTTTCAGCCATAGATAAAATACATGAAATTAGCTACACAGAGTAACTACAGCCCAGATGTACAACTTCTAATATTAATATTTTAAATGCTCAGTGTCAGTTCCTCTTCTAGTTCCAGTGCACATGTAAATACAATACATTTATATGCTGTCCCTTAAATGTATTATTTTGCATGATCCAGAGAAAGCATATTAGATTAAAAAAAATAAGAGTGGGTTTTACCTCTGCACAATTCTATATCATCAAAAGAAAACAGGATAAATCCACATATTCTAGACTATATTGGGTTAAACAGACACTGTCTTAGTAGCAGGTAAATTTAAATTCAATCCTTTTCAAAGTGGAAAAAGTCCTAATTCCACATTCATCAGAGCCATTTATGCTTTAAATATTGATAAACAGCATCTAGTGCATGTAGTGTTTATAATATTTGTATTAATGTAGCAAGAAATGCTGCTGTTCTCTTTAAACAAAATGAGCCCTGAAGCTCACATTAAGCATAAAAAAGAGCATGCATATTTTTGCAAAGGACCAATGAAACTGAAGAATAGTGTCCCTACCAAAGTTGAAATCAAACCTACGCCCTTGCACTCAGGTAAAGTCGTGCACCACTTGGGAGAATTCGGAACTGCAACCATTGGAACAGCTGCTTCGCTACGACTTTAAACCACCTCAACAGGCATGTATCCCTTTAGATATGTACAAAAAACTATGTAATTACTTACTTTTTGGTGTTTTTTGAAGCGTATGGTGATCTCACCTTAAATTGTTTTGTATTGTGTGTAACTAGATAGATACACGCCGATTCAGGTAGTTTAAAGTTTTTTTTTCATACAAAACCAAAGGGATAAACACAAATCTGATGTCTTGCTCATGCGTATTGACTATCGGTATTCCGATCTGACAAACAGCGGATCACTGCCGCATCATTTGGTAGTTAAAGAAATATTAGAGTGAAATAAAAACCCGAATTAAAACTGTAACGAAAACTAATATCTCATTTAGATTTGAGGCTATGCATTTAGGAAAGAGACCTGATTAATCGGATCTGATCTGATAATTATGAAATGTTGGCAATAATGCTGGTGGTAGGCAAAAGGTCCATTACCAGGAATTGGAGAAACTCACTTTCTCGCTTAGAATGGAAAAACACAAATTCACTGCCATTTGGCTGCAGCATGTGAAACAGATAAAAGTGAAAGAGAAGGGTGTGGGCGTCGTACCGTTTCTGGGTCTGGGCTGAAATCCTGGGAGCTCCTCTGGCTGGTCACAGACAGCCGCGCCGTGTCTGCCACCTCCCCGTTGGGCAAGATGCCGTCAGCAAACCAAACGCGCTTCTGTTCACGTGGGCAAGCTGAAAGGATGGAGAGAAACGGGGAAGCTCTTCGAGGGAACGCTCAAAAATAAGAACTGGCTATGGGAACAGAAACACTGTACCTACCGTCGTTATTTGGCTGTTTGAGAACGGAGACGGGGACCATGACGGTGGGCGGGGGGGAGTTCAGAGTTCCAGCTGCGCGAGCCTGCTGCAGAGGAGGGATGGTGCTGCAGTACTCAGAGGGGATGTTGGGGTTCGGGCTCGGGCCTGTTGGACTCATCATCCGCTCCAGGGCCTGGGCTGAAACAGACATGCTCGTTAGAAGAGAACCCGTTCACCTAGTGGTCCCCGCTGAAACTTCAACCAGCCAACAACATCTATGACCATTTTATTGGTTTATTTGTTGCAAAGAAGTAAAGCTTTATTCTTAAAGTCGTAGGGAAATCATATTTAAATGTCAAATAATTCTGGCTTAAACATGTATATAAATGTAGTCTTTATCAGAACATATTGTCCCAAAAGTTAGAAAATTTCTATTTAAAAAGAAATCCTGACTTAAAATCTGTGGGGGGGGGGGGGGGGTTTCCCATTATCTTATGCAGGCAAGTTAGTTATAAGTTCCCTCGAATGGTGCACGACTTTACACGAGTGAATAAAGTGAATGTGATTAGTCGTTTATCAAGGGGGAGGGATTATTTTGGCAGAAGGTTCGCAAGCAATTTAGATTGTGGCCATTGTCTCGGAAGCATCTTGCTAACCAGTTAGCAACTTACTGCTAGTAGGTTCCCAATGGGAAATTCCATTGGGACCAAGTAGCACTAAATTGGTGACTTAGAAACGACACTGTCAAGGAACGCTATGGACAGAGGAAACATGCAAGAGGAGGAGAGTTTAGTGAAGGAGGTCGTGGATGAGTCTCCTCCGTCTAGGGCTGCAACTAACGATTATTTTAAAAATCGATGAATCGGCCGATTATTTTTTCGATTAATCGATGAATCGGACAAAAATATTTTTTATATTAACCTCTTTATTCCAAAATAAACATTTTTAGACAGAACAAACAAGCACACAAGTACAGGTTGCTCATTAACTGTACTGGTGCTATATGAAAAATAAATGGTTGTGTTAAAACTACGCAAACTTACATGAGAAATGTGGCTGTACATCCACAAAATATAGGGTACTTTGTTTCATAAAGTGCAAAAAAAGACAGGCATTTTTGTTTTTAAAAGCCCCTAAGGGGTTCAAACAACAGGCCCCCCCATTTCAACCAATGAGTTTTTTTAGACTAGAAGAGTTCTGCCTTTTAAGACAGGAAAGTATAGAAGTTAAAGTTGCTACTTGAGAAAATACTGAACCATAGAGATAAAAATAGCCCTGTGATTCAAATTATGAATTGTATTTGGAATAAAAATGAGAGAACCAGTGGTGCTAAAAAACACATCCTCCAAAGACAGATATTTACATGGAAATGTGGCAGATAATTAATTGACATATTACTGATCTTGCTGGATTTTATTCTGCTTTACTTCCATAAATTGCAGGATCTTCTTTACTTTATCTTTGCCAGAAGATTTAAACTTTAAAAGCCTTGCTCTCATAATTTGCAAGTTAATTTATTTATAAAGAAAATATAAACGCTGCTTAAGCTAATTCAAATGAAATTAAAAGTAAAATAAGTAGCCAACCTTATCACTGTCTGTAACCTACTAACAAGGTAAGGAAAGCATCAGATGAGCTACTGATCAGCTACCGATCACCCTGCTGATCAGCTCTCTTCACTGCCATCGAAGGCTCCAGCATGTTTTCTTTTCAGGTGCTGCATCATAACAGTGGTGCTTCCGTGCTATGTTCATTTGTTTTTTCAAAAGTTGCATGTTACGACTTTTTTCGCTTTACAAAGCGCAGACTATTTTAATTATTGTGATCAATTTGCGCCGTCAATCCCGGCGCATGCGCGCTTCATTTGCAATCCTGCGGCTCTGACTGCAGCGCTGAGAGGGACTCCTGCGGGAGCGCCGCGGTAGAAACGGGTTGGGATGGGGGAGGCGCCCCACGGCAATGACGACGGCGGCGGATGACGCATTAATCGCGCGACACAACTAATCGATGATGAAATTCTTGCCAACGCTTTTAAAAGTCGATTTTTATAGATTTTATCGATTCGTTGTTGCAGCCCTACCTCCGTCATCCATTTTTTATTTAGAGGAGGAAAGTGGGGACGAAGATGTTGTGGAAGAGGACGCCAGAAGCTTGGTTTGGTTCTTATTTGAATCGTTGCGTATATTAGCTGCGACATATGAATCAAGATGACCGTTGATATATGATTGGCCGAATTTAGGTGTACAAGCTGACGTATAACTAACTGGCCTCAATAAGATAATGAAACCCCCCCCCCCCCCCCCCCCCCCAGATTTTAAGACAGGAAGTTTCCTAAATTTTGGGACAATATGGTCTGATAAAGTGTACATTTACATACATGTTTAAGCAAGAATTATTTGACATTTAAATACGATTTCCCTATGACCTTATGCTAAGTTGACATTGCAGGCAAATGCGACTCTTTCTGACGTATTTCACGGCAGTCAGAATAATTCAATAATTCTCCTCTAAATAATCCCATATGTACCGCCTGAATATGTGCTACAAAATCGGAAGCATATCAGTTTTTAAAGTGTTTGCAGTCTGAACAGTTGAGTCGCGTTTCATTCAGGCTCTGATTACTCATACATACAGATTTGTCTGCAGCACAGCACAAAAAAAGGCACTGTAATATCCAAATACTGTCCACAACTTATTGATGTCTACAGTTCTTCACATGTGGGTCCCATTGCGGCTGTGAACCTTTCAGATTAAGTGAATAAATCAGATTCCATCCAAAAACATCAAGACCTGCAGTGTGATGGTAGCCTGAATCAAATGGCTGCTTTACCTCCTCAGCCTCTCCAGAATCACGCTTATGACCAGATCATGTGCCTCAGCTGTGTGGAAGAACATGGCTGTACATAAGAAAAACCGGAACATTTCCCTTCTTTAACGGAAACGGAACTGGTTTAGCTGAACAGAAACCATTTGCAGGGTTGTGAAACAGGTGTGAAAGTCAGAGAAAGGGGAAAAGAACTAGCTGTGTGAAGAAAAGGCAGTGATTTTGTTTCGTGCTTCAAAATCCCTCAAACGTTCTTTATAAAGCATTCCTCTAATTCTCAGAAATGATGGAGACTCTCTCTGTCTTTTTGCTGGACATTTACTGAGATTAAATTATTGAGTTTCTGTCAAACAGTTTTACTCCCGTCCAGCATGGAGATAACCTCCTCCTTTGACTTTGCTCCTGTTGGTGATGGAGTAGCAGGGTTCCTACAACATAAGGCAAGTTAAGTTCAAGACTTTTTTGTTTTTGTTTTGTTGCTTTTGAGTTTTTAAAGCACTAGTGGCTAGTTTTATGGACAGTAGGCTGACAGGAAAGGGGGTATGAGAGAGGGGGAGAGACATGCTGGAAAAGACCAGGCCGGATTTGAACGCGGGTTGCCCGCATCGCAGACTAAGGCCTCCATAAAGAAAAAACAACCTTAAACAGAGGGGGTGAACTCAGGTTTCAGCTTTCAAAAACCTACAACGTAGCAATTGAGTTGATCCCTTCCAAGTATAATTGCAGCCCCAGCCCTTGTACAGGAGAGCGGAGGACCTAGCCTATTCAGCCAGGCCAACAGTCCCCTTTAACGACCCCCATTCAGACACATAGACAGGTGTGGGGCATTGCAGGCTAAAAGCCAGTTTATGCTTCTAATGCATAGCCTCTGCAACCGTCAAATCGGTCTCTGTGCACGGCCCCCGCGCAGAGGCTCTGCAACTGTGGTCGCGCACCTCAAAAAAATCCTGACTACGGTCGCAAACCCGCACAGACCTCAAGAGGAAGTGCGCAGACAAAAAGCAGCTATGATTGGTCCTTGGTATGCCTTTCCGGCTGTCTGTGTGATTGTCCTTCTCGATGTGGTGCCGGGGCGCGCCATTTTTAAAATCTGCTGCTTTGCCATGTTTACAGCTTTGTCTTCCATCATACCAAAGTGTTTGTTGTTTTACGGTTTTTAGGTATAGCTGGTATATCCAAGGTTTTCAGCTGGAAGCTACAGGGAGAACCAACCCTGTGAAGTCAACGCTTAAAGCCGTGATTCCTAACTGGGGGGCACACATACCCCTAGTGGTCCACCAGTGCATTGCAAGGGGTAGATGAAAATATTTTCTTAGGTAGTAAAATAAAATAGATCTGATTTGTGAGGACCCAATTGAAAAAAAAAAACATTTAAAAAAAAAATCCTGACTACGGTCACAAACCCCTGCAGACCTCAAGAGGAAGTGCGCAGACAAAAAGCAGCTATGATTGGTCCTTGGTATGCCTTTCCGGCTGTCTGTGTGATTGTCCTTCTCTATGTGGTTCCGGGTCACGCCATTTTTAAGAACCGAGGAACAACAACAATGGATACTCTATCTCTGTGACCGTGATATCTTCCAGACACGCCATTGTTGTTTTGAAAGATAAACTCTCCCGCCGGCGCCGCTAAAGAAGTTTTCGTTACCATCCGATGAAGTTCTAGCAAGTTCTCTAACCCGTTCATGCATAGTGGTCACTACAGTGGACAGTTATTAAATGGTTGTTTTCTCTTAAATGAGCATGTTTTAATGTCACATTTGCACATATGTTACTACAGTGGACGCTAATGTATCATCCTGCCACTTGTCAAACTGCCACCTACTCGTCAGCCTTGCAAGTGACTTTTTTTTTTCCTCAAAAAAACAAAATGGCCGACAGAGGAGCACATGGGTTGTGAGGGAGAGGAATATCTGCTCATTCCTTCTATTCTAGGCGATCCTTGCAGGTAAAAAAAAATATGGGGACATCAAGTAACAATTAAGGAGTTAAGGAGAAATTCCAAGAATTGATTCTGTGTTATTAAAAATTTGGTTGCAAATGTGTGCGGTTGCAGAAGTATAATCCACCTTTGACAAAGAAGCCAAACGACCCCCATTCCAAAGGGGTGGATAAATTTGTCCATTTTAATTTGCATGTTTTCAAAACAATGACAAGGTTTTGTTGGGCTACTTTATAAAACCTTGAAGTCAGCGCTATTCCTGACATTTTTAATTGAAAAAGCTTCCTGAATGGGAAGCGAAACATCTTCAAAGTCCAGTGGATTGTTTTTAATTTTCGTTTTTTGGAATGACTTCTATTAAGCTTCACTCTCATAATAAATTAGAACCCTATGAAAACAGAAATATTGGTCCACCTGTGAAATCAAATCTGTCGGGCTGTTATCCAGCACCAGGACATCAGTTCTGAGCTATATTGGCAAAAATCACAGGGAAGTTATTTGGATAACCAACAATAAAACAGAGGACTGCTGTTAAAGTGGGTAAAAAGAGCTGACCCTGCATCAGCTGCTAGCTAACATCAACACACTCCGATTCTGCCTGCAGCGCTGTGAGTGTTTATTGACGTAAGGGACCGAGAAGAAACAACAAACTTCTCTGACAGCGTGCAGGTAATAAACAAACCTGCTTCAGGAGGTACACAGCCCAGCATTTCAATGTTTGCTTCAAATAATCAGAAAAGCAAAAGAAAATAGGAATCAGTTTATGCGCTGCAAAAACGATTTTGACTTAGGCTCTTATTGGAACCAACAGTAGGAAAAAACAAAATACCCCAGTTTGCCAGAAGCATTCTTTAAAAGGGGCGAAGATGGAATAACAAACTGATTATTAGTATTTACTGGTGTTCTTTTTTTAATCAAATAAAAATGAAATTTGGAGAAAGAGCCTAAAAAATTAGTAAATATCAGCTAATACCCTGATTAACGTCACCTTTATTACTAAAGTCGTAGGGAAGCGGCCGTTCCAATGGTTGCATTTCCAAATTCTCCCGAGTGGTGCACGACTTTACACGAGTGAATAAAGGGAATGTGATCGGTCATTTATCAAGATTGTTGTGGCGGAAGGTTTACAATTAGTTTGATTGTGGCGGGTTTATCCGAAGCATCTTGCTAACCAGTTAGCAACTTAGTGCTAGCAGGTTCCCAATGGGAAATTCCATTGGGACCAAGTAGCACTAAATTGGTGAATTAGAAACGACACTGTCAAGGAACGCTATGGACAGAGGAAACATGCAAGAGGAGGAGAGTTTAGTGTCTGAGGTCGTGGATGAGTCTCCTCTGTCATCCATTTTTTAATTAGAGGAGGAAAGCGGGGATGAAGATGTTGTGGAAGAGGACGCCAGGGCGGCAGACGCTTGGTTTGGTGTAGAAGGCTTCCAGCCGTACACGTTTGAGCCCTTGCCTCGCAACGCTGCCAGTTCTGTTAGCTCTACGCCTGCTGAAGACACAGACGTTCATCCCCGTGAACACTGGGACGCAACTCAATGGGAAAGGAAATGATTCTTGTTTCAGCCATTGCAAATATTAGCTGCGACATATGAATCAAGATACTATGACCGAAAAAACACAGAAAAAGACAGGATTGTTTGTTTTGTTTGGGGAAGATTTCTTCTGATAAATAGTAAATGTATATACATGTTTAAGCCACAATGATATGACATTTAAATATGATTTCCCTACGACTTTAAAAAATCCTTTTATTATAATTATATTTAAATGCTTACAGATAATTATCCTCCTAAATTTACCAGTGATTAAAATGACCCTTTTTTGTGCCGCGTAGTGAAGAAGGCCTGTCATCCTGTGAGCTAAAGGCTAATCTCAGTGAGGAACAGCTCACCATCTATGGTCTAAAGATCCGGAGCAATAAAGCAGAGACCAAAATCACGCCTCTCACCTTTATGTATGGTGTCAAAGCAGAGGACGCACACACGAGCCTCCTTGTCCAGGTACTTGAGTTTACACTTTCTGTTGCAGCACCCGGCACAGTACACCTGCCACAGAGAGAGAACAATGATGAAGGAAACAATGATTCAGCTCCAGCAGACACAGAAATGATGAGCGCTCCTCTGAGACAATCCTAACATGTTCGCTTGGCCCCACGCAGCAGCAGCAACAGCAGCAGCAGCAGCGGCGGCAGGCGTGGCAGCGGCAAATCATGTCGTCTGGGCTGTAAACAATGACATCCCGAGCCGTGGATCCTGATTCCGCTTTAAACGCTGCTCCTTAGCTGCAGCTCTGGATGCACGGCTCAGTGGAGATCTAAAGGGGAGCTGGAAAAAGAACCGCTGACTCATGCTCTTTGCCATAGGGCTATTTTTAGCTCTGAGACGTAATATCCTGTTTTAACCATTTCTGGGGCACAGACTTTAGAAAAAAAAGATTCCCTCACATGCTCTAAATCAGCATATTAGTTCTTATTTTAGCAGAAATATAATAAAAAAAAGACAATTATATATATATTATTAATATATATATTATTTTATGAAACTATGGTATCTGCTTAACGTTTAAATGTAAACAAATCAAACAGATTTTTCGATTGTTTATTAGATTAGATCAAATTTAATCCGTGGGATTAATTGATAACGTCTGTTCAGAAAGAATTTCGTGGAATTTTTAGCTGCTCAATACAATCCCATTGAACGTAAATCTGCTTCGATACAATAGGAGAGCTTTACGGAAGAGGATTAGGGCCAGTGGGAAAAAAAAAAAAAAAAAAAAAAGTTAAATGATTTTTTTATTTTATTTCAGTATAATATGGGAAAAAAGTCAGAATTCTGACTTTTCTCAAAATTCTGACTGAATTCTCAAAATTCTGACTGAATTCTGAAAATTGAAAACTCATAATTACAGTACAATCATTAAAAATACTGAACGATGAATTATAGTGTATAAATATATATTTATTTAATATATTAATGTTGAACAAAAAATATACAACTGCATGTAGGTTTTATGTCTAATCCAGTTTGACTTAATTCTAAACTGTTTTGAATCTGAGTAAATGTGTGTAATCCAACTGAAAGGTAATTTAAAATTTGTTTTGGTCTTTTAAAGGAAAAGTTCGGGCATATTCAGAATTTAAACTTCTGAAAATACTTTAAATATGAAATTATTACATACTGTTCAATAAATGATAAGTGTTTTTTAATTCAGAGTACATTTTCATTTGTATGTGCTTCACTGGAGGCATCCATGTTTGTCAAAGAACACTACTGCCACCTACTAGTTTGTGACGTCACGGTGCGTTATCGGCTGTTGATCAAGTCCCAGTGCTGTATCTGGTGTTTGTCACAACGCGCTATTATCCAAGTATTCTTGAAAACATTCGTCTTCCAAATGTTGGCTACATGTTACGTGTTTTTTCTCTGGCCAGAAGTTCGATGGCAAATCCTCCCTCTTCAACGAACCCGTCCGTGGAGGATCAGGAATCGAAAATGTGAACTAAAAAGTTTTTTTTTTCACTTTTACCCGATGTATTCCAGCATCCATCTGCCATGCACGTGGGCATTGTCAGTTTCACTATAGCTCTGGTGAATTTCAATGGTGAAGTCCTCTGGAAATCTTCAATAATTGTTGTTGATTGCAGATGTGTGTAGTAGAGGGGTCAGCAACCCGCGGCTCTTTAGCCCCCCCCTGCGGAGCTTTTTCCAAAAATGTATGGAAAAATAAATTTTTTTTTTTGGTTTGCTTATTTTAATATTGTGTGCAGAAGGTCAAACAGACATTCATTATGTTTCTCAATGCTGTAAATATTTGTATAATATATACATTTAAACAATATATTTATTTCAAAGTACTTTATAGTCATAGAGATCAGTGGTCAAAGCAACACATGCCTCAGTGTGGCCCGGTGCCAGGCAAACAAATTGGCGTGTGTGTCTCAGACATGGATCCCAAAGGGAAAAAAAGGAAGATATCTTATGAGAACAGGGGATTGAAAGCAGAATGGAGCAAATCCTTTGCTTTCATTATCAATGCGGAAGGTTTGCTTGCATTTGTGCTTTGTAATGTGAGGTTGTCAAAAAATAAAAATAGTAATTTGGAAAGGCATTTCCAGGGAAGGCTAAATATGCAGCCGATCACAAATTTGGGAGTGAGAGAAAAAGTGCGATTGCAGAACTTCTGGACAAATTAGAGCAGAGCAAAGATAGATTAAAGAAATGGATTACATCTCCAAACTCCACTACTGCTGCTAGTTTGGTTGCAAGGATGGAAAACCATCCACAGATCAAACAGGTAGCGCTCTGATGCAGGGATGGGATTTTTTTCCCACTCCCCCTCCCCCAAATCGTTAAAATAAAAATATCACCAAGGAGCGCTGGTGACGGAGGATGTGGCATTTCAGGGTTAGAGATCTCTGCTCTGATGGATCTCAGTTCCTGCTTGGTTCCTCATGACTCGATCAGCTCCTCCCAACAGAAACACGTCCACCATAGAAAGATTCCTTTATCCTGTTTCTATCATTTCATCAATGCAGCCATGCGGTGAGACGTTCACTGCTCCTCCCTCACCTCATGCTGCTGTGTGACATTTGCTCCAGGATAAACATTTTACCATGAATGATTATTACAAAAATAAGCCCATGTTGTCCTTTTCTATAGTGGGATAATACACTTAGAGCCCGTGTTGCCATATGAGGCTTATATTAGGGTTGTCAAAAGTATCGATACTGAAACGTTGTATCCGGATACAATACTCATTTTCAAAAGTATCGATACAGTGCTACCACTAGTGGCACCTAAACAGTCATTCATCTTAAGTGCAGATTAGAGGAAAATGCACTTTCTGAACACTGTGTGATTGAATAATATTGTGCACTTTTTGGTTTCAGACTGTTTTCTGTAACAGGTGCAGCTGCTGAGAATTATTTTTGTTTCTTAACCAGTTTGGCTAGCGTCATTGTTATGTGTGCAAAGCATAGCCAAGGAAGGAACACTTAATTTTAACTTTGTACGTTTTTTATCCAGCTTGCTTAATATTGTGCACAGCATTCAACCTCAAAATATTGTTTATTGCATTTATTTATCTATTTATAGTATTTTGTTTATTAATGAAAATATTTCTGTCTTTGTTTTTATCCGTGTGGTATCGAAAATGACATCGAGTATCGAATATTTTACCTAGTATCGGTATCGAGTTGAAAAGTTTAGTATCGCGACAACCCTTGATTATATATATATATATATATATATATATATATATATATATATATATATTTTTTTTTTTTTTTTTTTTTTTTTTTTTGGTCCAATATGGCTCTTTGAGCAGTTTTGGTTGCCCAGCCCTGCTCTAGTAGCTCCCATTGATTTTGTTTGCAAAGCGAGGAGAATGGAGCTTGGCTTATTAATGACGTCACTGCTGGAAGATGTCCGGAGTGAGGTGTTACTATATTTGGGCAAAGATGGCTGCTCCCAGACTCTGTGAACGCGGCGAAAATTGTTTTTATTTTTTTAGAGATTATTGCTAAATTTATTAAATCACCGCAAACATATTAGTTTTTGTTATAAATAATGATCCATTGATTATTCCTTGCTGATGGGACTTTTCTTTTAAGAAATCTAAAATGCCCGTCTCGACACATCCGGCCTCAGCAGCAATGCTGTTTTCAACTTGACAGTCCTTCTACGTCCAAAGTTTTTTTTTTTTATTTTGCTGTGAACAGATCTTCACAGTGTGATCACTGGACAGGAGAAGCCATGGAATCTAATTTCTGCTCAGGTTCAGCCTTTTAAAAGCTGTGGTCTGAAAATTCTCAACAGCCTTTTTGAGTTTAATTGCTGCCGTTAACTTTTTCATCTTCTTTGTCAATAATTTTTGAAGCTCCGCTTAGAACCTTTTCAAATTCATGCAACTTTTTAACTGGTATTAAGATTTTAAACAGGATATCTGCTGCAGAGCTTTTTTTCTTCTTTTTATTTTTACTAAGCATCCCATTCTCCTAATTGTGTTTTCTTTTTTTCATTCAAAATGTACACCGTAACCTCTACAATAGTGATAAGATCTCATCCATAAAAATTAAAACCAACTTTTAGTTTAAATCAGCTGAAGTTCACCAAGTGGACTGCAGAGGGCAGTAGAGCCTCTGGTGAGCAGCACCACCCTGTTATATGACTTTCTGCAGCTTTAAAGCAGCAATGAGTGAAAGGAGAACAGAAGTGTTAAATATATAATTAAGTTAGTCAAATATGATAAATTTCTCTTTTGTTGATACATATTGAACTTTAAAATGATATTAGGTGTGTGTGTAGCCGTCTAAACCTGAAAAACATTTTTGGTTTGGAAAGATATGGCTTAAATCTTGAGCATATTCTATATTATGTACATTTATTGTTTTTTAATATTTAATTTAAACTGTACATGTTTGTGCAATTATGGTTTAGTTACTGCAATCTTTCAGCATATGGCTGTTTTTTTTGTTTTAGTGCCAACTAAGGATACATTTTGCTAATTGATTAATCTCTAGATTATCTATTTATCCATTAATAAACAGATAGCAAAAGGTTCCTTAAAGAAGACTTTTTACGAAATTAAACCCAAAAAAATATAAAGCTTGTCCACTTGAGGAGTTCTTGATAGAGCAGATTGACAGATGAAAAAGATTTTCATCTTAAATGCAAAATGTTTACACATTTTACTCCAGTTAACAATTAATCAATTGCTAAATTAGTTGATGATTATTTCGATAATTGATTAATCTTGATTAATTGTTTAATCCCTTTATTCTTTCATGATAGGTTCCTTGATCAGCCAGCATGGGTTCTTCAGATCCACGCAGAAATTAAACTAAGTTTAAAGATATAGGACCAAAACAATCGATCAGATTAGTCTTAAATAAACAATAACTAATACGGCAATCGAAACCTAATCACAGCGGTGAATAAGACAAGGCTCTAAAACTAAAGTTATAGAAGTTCTTAAAACATAAAATACAAACAATTTTTTAAAATTTTAAAATACTTAAAATATAGTATTGTACAGCTTCTTAATAATAAACATAATTACATGGATCATTTTGCCATTTGCAATTAATTTAAGATACTCAATTAGTTTTTTTTTTTCTGTATTCTACACATTTATCTAGAAATGTTATTTTTTGCTATCTTTTTAGATTACTTATTTTATTTCAAAGTTTGTTTTATTCATCAAAATGTCACTTGGAAGTACAATACAGAGGTTATTATTTGACTTTTCCCACTTAAGAATAAACAGACAGCTGACAACAAAAGCAAACCAAAGAAACTATTTCTGACATGAAAAATGTTTTAAAAAAGAAAAAAACAAAATGAATAACAGCAACAAAAAAAAAAAAAAGTTTTAGGTTAACAGATTACAAAAATAACTGAAAGGTGCAGCCCTTTAAAAATACTTTTTAAATTATTATCACAGCCGTTTATTTTTGTAAAGATCAACTAAAAGTTGGAGCCGAGGTATTGAATTGCACTCAATGTATTTTTGCAGTATTTTTTGATGCAACTTTTCCACTTCTGTTATTTGCTGTTGTTTCTAAAAAAAAAAAAAAAAAAAAAAAAAAAGCAGAACGATATTACAGCTTTCATGGATTTATTTCAAACTTGAAACTTTGTTTAGCCAAATCGTATGGTGGTGCATTCTTGAGTATCGAAAATAATCGGATCGTTGGGTCAGGAAATCGATACTGAATCGAATCGCCATGATGGGTGTGATTTACACCCCTAATAATAACATAATTAAAATTGGGCATAAATAAAAAAATATCTGCGATATACCTGCAACAAGCTAACTGCGACAGACTGCTGCGGGAGGATAACCAGCCATTAACAGAACAAGAAAGAGAGCGAACAACGACTCTGGACTGACGTACCTTCCCGCAGGCCCGACAGTGATGCCGCCGCTTGATGAAGGTGAACGTCTGGTGGCATTTCATGCAGGACGGAGCTTCAGCGTCTGGCACCCACGCTGGCTGAATGCTCCCCAGCTCCTCCTCACCGTCCCCCTTCCAGTTGGCCGGCCTGGCAGCGCCCAGCGGCTCCTCCCCGGGGTATGGAGGCGGCTCTGAGAGTTCGTCAAACCCTGCAGAGAAATCCTGCTGATACGGAGGGCTGCTGAGGTCAGAGTCCCTGAATTTAGACGGGTCCTCTGTGGGAGCTGGGTGCTCCTGTTCTTCAGGTGTTGGGGAGGTGCTGGGCTCCGTTCCTTCCTCTCCTGCTGGTGGAGGTCTGGCGGTTTGGCTGTGGGGCTGTTTTGGTCTGGCGCCTCCATAGGAGTCATGGCATTGTAACGGTATAGACTCTCCTGACGCTGAAAGAGCAGGAGGACTGAAGCTTCTCTCTGCAGATGCAGCAGATGTTGCATCTGCAGACGACAGAGCTTCTGGCTCTTCCTGTTCTTGGCCACAGCTTCCTGGTTCCGGCTCATCTCGTCGTTCTTCCAGAACCTGCCCTGACTCCGAGAGGCACTGGGGTTCATCTCCAGAACCTCTGGAGCAGAGAGAAGGCCCCGCCCCCTGCTCTGCTTCCGCGTGCGCCTGCAGGAAAGCGTCCAGTTCTTCGTCTGTAACCAGCAGCTCCGCCTGATCGCTCTCAGGCAGGTATTCAAAGCCGAACTCAGGAGCGTAGGGCGGGTCGGGCTCTGCCGGAGCAGAACCAAGCGAAGCGTGCTGCCCCTCTGGAGACGGCCTCCTCTCTGACATCTGCTCCGAGTCAGAGGAGCCGTCTCTGCCGTCATCCTTTCCTCCTGTGCTCTCAGACGCCTCTGCTGCTCCGGGAGGATCCTCTGAGGTGGTGGAGTTCACCAGAGCGCCGCATATCGACACGGCCAGCGGCAGGCATGACAAGCTGCCCGGTTCGCCGTTTGAGGATTCACACTCTATACCTTCGTCTGACTCGCCTTCAGCGGCCTGATCTGAAGGTTGCTCCTTGCTTAATGACGTCACTTCGTTATCGCTCTCTGCTTTATGGCGGTCCGAGGACGCCCCCTCCAGCTGCTCTTCACTCTCCTTCTCGTCTGCATCTGCCAACTCCGACTGATCAGAAGGTTCAGAGCTTTTCTCCGCCGCCGCCGGAAAAATAATGTCCAGCAAACTAAGTGAAGCCGAGTAACCGCCGCTCTGTTGGTGGCAGCTCAGCTCAGTTTGCTCCTCCTCAACACTGTTTATGTTAAGCCCCACCCCCACCTCTGTGACCGCGGGGCTGTCAAAGTCCACCAGCAGCGCCTCCTCCTCCTCCTCCTGGCTGTTGGTCCGAACCAAGATGGCCGAGCTGGCATCGTTTACGAGGTCGCACACCGGCTTCAGAGTTCTGTCCGGGCAGGGCGGGGCCGCGTTTTTAGCAGGCCTGCGGTCAACGGAGGACAGAAGGTCCACGGCAGTCAGGGGCTGACCTCTGACCTCGCCAACGTCAGCCGTCTGCTGGCCATTGGAGGCATCTGAACAGCTTCCTGCGGAGCCATAATGGAGAGAATTGAGGTCTGGGAGGCTGGTTGGGCCGCTGGGGACGTCCGGGCAGAACGGGTACGCAGGGGGCTTCAGGAAAACAGGCTGGCATTCCGCTTCCTCTGCAAAAAGAACCAGAGCCGAGCGGTTATTTAAAAGAATAATTCAATGCTGCCAATTACAGTCATTCTTATCAAATACGACTGAAACTAAAAAAGAAAAACAAATCTAAAACAAGCAAAAGAGGAATAAAAAAACCTATGAAAGGTCTTATTAATTCCTAATTTAATTATTTCTAAAGATGATGAAAAGGCTTTTGTTTAATCACAGATTTAAGAGTTAGTTAAGAGTTTAGTTCTGGGTCAAAACAGATTTGGACAGTGTGTTTTTATAATGTTTTTTGTTCTTGGCATTCATATAAATATACTGTTGTGATAACTCAGAATTCATTTGATTGGTTTTTAGTATACATCTATTTTGAATTTACAGCCTCCCCTCAGAAAACTCCGCCACTGATGATCTCATTTATTTATGCCCTGATTTATTCTTTAAGGCTAACTTCCCTGAAGTCTCTAAAGAAGCTCTGGGAAGACCAGATGGCTGAATAAATCACAGAGGACATGTGGAAGAGGATGCTTTTGAAAGTAAAGGGATCATTCATTCAGAGCAAAGAGGTGCATCATGCTCACCTGACAAATGTCAGGCTCTCAGAAATGTTTAGGGATGTGGACCCTGTCTGCGGTCGCTGTGGTCTAGCACCTGAAGCTCAGGCGCATATGCTCTAATCATGTCCTGTCTTGAGTTCTAACTGGGAAGAGATCTTTCATTCTTTATCTAAAACCACCTGTAAACATGTTTTGTTGAAGTGGAAGTCTCCATCACCACCATCACATATACACTGGATCAGACAAGCTCTTTATTTTGTTAACTTGGAAAAGATTACACTCAATTTTAAGGGCGGGGTAAACTAGACAGACTGTGGGACTGCTTTCACGACCATGTAGGTGAGCTGGACTTCTATAACGATCCGGATTAATGCCCTCTTTACATCCGAATGGCAGCAGTTTAAAATGAGACGTTTGTTTGGTCTCAGCTGCTTCCCGGAGGAAGGGCGGTCTTACCTGAATTGAGCTCAAAGTCATCCAGAACCTTGTCCAGATCACAAACCGCTGCCTTGAAGAAGCTGTCCATCCTGAGCTACCGAGGGCCGTCAATCTCTGGCTCCTATTAAAAACAAGCAGGTTTTATTAGTGGTTTCATAAAGACAGTTTTAAGCTTCAAGAAGAGGAAAACAAACTGGTTACATGATTATGAGGTCAGCCTAGGATGAATTATGGGAAGATGACTCAGTAAAGGAAGTGCTGGCAATAAACAGTAATGGTGCACTGATGAACATACCAAACAGGGGTGGGCCTCAAAGGGAAAATAGAACAGCTTCGAACTGGGACTGAATGGTGTTTAAATCCTCTGATCTCTCATTAAATACGAGTTTATCTTCTACTGAACTTAACCTCCAAAAAACAAAAAAAAAAATTAAAAAAAACTTTCATCCACCAAGGAGGTTTTCTGTCAGCATATCCATTAAGGGCTTTAAAAGCTCAGCTGTAGATCTATAGGAGATCTATTGCCGAACTATAGTAATCTATAGCGGTTCCATAGCAAATCTATAGTGCATCTATAGTGCACTGTTAAGATAATTATCACTGATGATGTGTGAGTTTATTACAGCTTAATATTAGCTGCCTTGTTTCGAGGCAGAACTGATGTTTTCCACAATAGTTAATCCTCAGTCTGGCTATATACAGTTATAATCTTCATTCTGTACGTGGCAAAGATTTGGGAATAGAATGAGAGCGGCGTCCTTCAGCTAAGAACAAAGTGTAATAATTTGATAATGCTGGAGCCATGGATGTCCAATCATCTTCTAACTTGTATGATGTAATGATGTGGCAGACTAGAGATGTATAAAATGCCTTTTTAACGGTTAATCAGGGCCACTTCCTGAGAGATGAGCAGCTGCCTTCTGTAACTCTGAGCAACTTCTCTGATCTGAGAAAGATTACAATTTCTATCACAATCTGTTGTCATGTCTCCTGGTTATTTAATACATATAAGTTATTAAGTGTTATGTAAAGAGTTTGTCCTGATTGATGTATTTTCAGGGAAAATAACCAGAGAGAGAAAGATTCAAGGTGTAAACACAGAGAGCCCATCTTTAACAGCACCTATAGCAGATCTATAGTTGATCAATAGCGATCTATAGAAAATCTATAGCTCTATAATATAACTAAAACACATCGATAGCAGATCTATAGAAAATCTATAGCGGATCTATAGGAGATCTAGAGCGCACCCATAACAGATCTATAGCAGATCTACAGCTGATCTATAGCTGGTCTATATGAAATCTATAGCGTACCTATAGCAGATCTATAGCTGATCTATAACGGATCTATAGGAAATCTATAGCGTACCTATAGCAGATCTATAGCTGATCTATAGCGGATCTATAGGAAATCTATAGCGTACCTATAGCAGATCTATAGTGATCTATAACGGATCTATATGAAATCTATAGCGTACCTATAGCAGATCTATAGTGATCTATAACGGATCTATATGAAATCTATAGCGTACCTATAGCAGATCTATAGCTGATCTATAACGGATCTATAGGAAATCTATAGCGTACCTATAGCAGATCTATAGCTGATCTATAGCGGATCTATAGGAAATCTATAGCGTACCTATAGCAGATCTATAGTGATCTATAACGGATCTATATGAAATCTATAGCGTACCTATAGCAGATCTATAGTGATCTATAACGGATCTATATGAAATCTATAGCGTACCTATAGCAGATCTATAGCTGATCTATAACGGATCTATAGGAAATCTATAGCGTACCTATAGCAGATCTATAGCTGATCTATAGGAAATCTATAGCGCACCTATAGCAGATCTATAGCGATCTATAGCGGATCTATAGGAAATCTATAGCACCACTAGAGCTGATCTATAGTGATCTGTAGCGATTCTATAGCGCACCTATAGCAGATCTACAGCTGATCTATAGGAAATTGATAGCGTACCTTAGAGCTGGGCGATATGGCGATATATATCGTGAGGACGAGAGAAACACGTCTATCGTGACCTTTCTCCTCTATTTTTTCTATCGTGATAAACTTTTTTATTTTATCTTAATTTTTTTTAGCCAAGATTCTGTACTGTTCACTGTCATGGCCGCAAATTGCATAACTGGTGTTCTTGGTTTGAGGTTGGGATTCTCATATTAGGAAACAAGATGATGGGTAAAAAATAGGCAATGAAAGATTTTTTTCAACCCTGTCCATCTGACGGACTATGAAAACATAAAATGCAACATCAGTTGTGGCATATCGTGATATATATCGTTATCGTGATATAAAATAATCCATATCGTGATATAGTTTTTTTTCCATATCGCCCAGCCCTAGCGTACCTATTGCAAATCTATAGCCAATCTATTGATAATCTATAGTGATCTATAGCGGTTCTATAGCGCACCTATAGCAGATCTACAGCTGATCTATAGTGGATCTATAGGAGGTCTATAGCGCACCTATAGCAGATATATAGCCGTTCTATAGCAGATCTATAGCAATCCGTAGCTGATTTATAGTGATCCAAAGTGGATCTATTGGAAATCTATAGCAGATCTATAGAAGATCAGCTTCTTCTCCCATTAGAGGCAACAGCTGAGACCAGAATAATGCTGGGCGATATGATTGTTTTGTTTTTTTTGCATCACAGCCACTATTGGTGACTTCAGCTGGGTTCCCAAATAGTGATATTGACCTTCAGCAGGTAATAAAATAGTTAATTTCCATGGAACCTGAACTGCACCATTTCAAAAAATAAGAGATCCATTGGTGAAAGCATGGCGGGAGAAATTTTTGGGTGATTTGGATTTCTGCAGCTGTTATTTATTTTTATTTTTTTTGCAACATTTTTTTTTCCAGCAAAAATTTCTTTTACAAGTAAAATTTTGCAGATGAAATTTTGCAGTTTTCCCTTTTCTCTAAGTTAATTAATTAGTTTTTGCAGGTGAAGTCCTGCCACAGATTCTTTGCAGGGGATTTTCTATTGAATTGAAAGAGACATTATGTAATTCTTTACTGGAAAATATCTTCAAAATAGCATTTTCTTTTAACCCTTTACGACTAAAACACCATTTGATTAGCAGACGGCAACTTCAGTGAATACATGATTGCACAATTATAAAAATCCAGTGTTATAAATTCAATATTTTTAAAAAAGGTCTGATTCTAATGATAACAATATTATGATGACATTTTTATGCTTAGACTATGATGCTTTATGCATCATACTCATTCATCCTTTCCACCTTGAAAAAACATATTTGATACACGTTATCCCCTGAACAGCAGAATTAAATCTCAATAAATAATCTGGTAAATATCGATAACTAACATAAATAATCAGTACATCAGAAGGGGCTAACTAGAAATGTGAAATTCAAACGGTTGACTTTTAGGGACATTTTTGGCTCAGCTATAAAAAAAATGAGTCAGAAAAAGAAAAGAAAAAACACAAATATGCTCTAAAACTAGAAAAGCTGGACAACAATCTGACAGACGCACCGAGGAAATAAAAGGCAGCTCGACATAAAAATAAAAATGTTTGAAAAAAACTCAAGCGTTTAATAAGTTCAACTGAAATTGTACATTTTGATTGGAAATTCAACTTTGTTGATCTCACACTGGATAAATTAACTCTCTGCATTTAACCCATCCACCTTGGGGAGCAGTGGGCTGCCATTGTGCGGTGCCTGGGGAGCAGTGTGGGGTTAAGGTTCTTGCTCAGAAACCCAGAGTGGCAGTTTGTGGGAATGAGAGGGACTTGAAATCAGAACCTCCAAAATCCAAGCGCAATACTCTAAGCACTAGGCCACCATTGCCCTAAATAAGGTGGAAATTTTAATTTTAAGTCAAAGATATGGACGCCATTCAAAGATCTGATGTGACCAAACAAAGCAAAGCTCCACAGAGGTTTCTGTTCCCTGCTGACTCACTGAGGCAGGTTAACGCTACAGGGAACAGGAAGTGGTTTTAGGATGGAGGATAATCCAGTCATCTGACTTTCCTTTAGAATGCAAGAAAAAGAAAAAAACTAATGAACAAGGAAAAGCAATGTTTATATGAACCCATCAATTCCAAGAAAGAATTGTGACATTTTTCCTTCTTCTGCAGCTGGACCAGCCTGGTAGCAGCGTTAAAGAGGAAACCCCGTTTTTTTTTTTTTTTTTTTACATTGGCCCCTTGATTTTACGTTATATTTTTTTATATTTATATTTTTACGTCATACACACTCCTCTGCTTTGTTTTAAAAAAATATATAAATATAAAAAATATAACCGCAGATGTCTGGGAGACATGTTATGAATGCTGACGTACCATAAATGATAAATTATAAACAGTTTAGTTTGTGCCTTCAAGTCGTTTCGCATAGGAAGACTTTACTTGGATATAACAGAACAGCTCCAAATGACACAAAACTCATATGGGTGAGTAGAACATGATGTAATAACGTAAAATCAAGGGGGCAATGTAAAAAAAAAAAAATGGTGTTTCCCTTTAAGTTTGAGCCCAACCTGATAATTAACCACATTCATTTAATGTCATTTAGGTTGTCGCACGTAGCTTTGCTGGTCAAATTAAGTAGAACGAAACGTAGAAGAAAGAAATACACTTTACCCAATTAAAGCGATTATTTAACAGGTAACTATATAGAATAATATCCCCGTTTTCTGCTTCTTTCATACAAACACGGTAGAGACCATATAGATTTATGGGTGGCAGCCTTTTAGTATTCTTAAACATGGATGATTCTGAAGTCAGTCCATCTGTTCCTTGATGCACGCAGCTCATTTTTAGAGCCGATATTGTTAGGTGAATGTGTGCATTTATGACTGAAAGACATCTCCTGCCTCCATTTACTACAGCGTGTTGAATTCATTTTAATGTGTATTTAAAGACATTTCAATTAGTGGAGCAAATATATTTATAGATAGTTGTCTTTCTTGCCAGTAAAGGAAAGATTTAAGTAGATTTTCTTTCTCAGTATTAAGCAACAGGTGGGGGAGGTGGAGTGTAGCCGCACTACTTTGATTATTTCAGGATTTAAAGAACTCATAACCAGAATACTATAATATTCTAGCAGTTTTAGAACAGCGCCATTTTGCTATTTATCTGCTGTTTTTTTTATCTCAGAGAAACTATCATACATTATTCTTTCTCCAGAAACTGTCTATAAATAGACTGCTAAAAGTGACATAAGGAAGTCTATCTTTCTTGAAAAAGTGTGTTTTCCCTTAAATGGAGAAGAAGATTTCGACAATTTACCAGTTTAATAACATTACTTTAATTTAGAATGAAAGAATAACTCCATTATCTCATTTAAAGCGCATAATATGTAATTATCTTATTTTAGGGGCAAAAATGCTCATTCCATTGGCAGCATCTTATTGATCTGCTCAAATTAAAAGCAAATATACTTGTTTTAAAGGGATAGTTCGGTATTTTTGACATGAATCTGTATGGCATCCCGATCACAAGCGGCATGCAATCACACTGACTTACCCCTGGCAGCGTCCTGTGAGCAGAGTTATCGTCCAGTTTTGGTCAAGCCGAAAGTAGTCCTGCAGGTTTTTAGGAACAGCGAAATAAAACTTTTCTCTTCCCAAAACATTATGTGTCCAAAAGAGTGATACAATGTTTTTGGGATGCGAAAATATCACTCTTTTGGACACATAATGTTTTGGGAAGAGAAACGTTTTATTTCGCTGTTCCTAAAAACCTGCAGGACTACTTTCGGCTTGACCAAAACTGGACGATAACTCTGCTCACAGGACGCTGCCAGGGGTAAGTCAGTGTGATTGCATGCCGCTGGTGATCGGGATGCCATACAGATTCATGTCAAAAATACCGAACTATCCCTTTAAGACTTTCTCACATATTTTGGATTCTTTTTGCAGTGTATGCTTCTCCTGCTCCTCTAAAAAATAAATACATTTGGAAAAAGCTGGACTGAAACCTAAAGTATGGATCTATTTACTCATCAGGAGGAAGATTCTCACTTTGCTCTCAGTTATTAAAAAGGACATTTTTTTTTGGAAAGTTAGATAAATTGAGTTTAGCTGTATACACACACATTATATATATATATATAACGGTGTTGTTGTTTTCCAGTATATTAGTACAGTGTTTTTCCCCGTTTCCTGCTTTCTAGACCCTTAGGCTTCCTTCAAGCTGGATGCTCTGGTCCATCCAACAGTTTAGGAGTTTAAAAAGTGGACAGCGGACAAATACTACGGGTTCACCAAACTTGTCACAACACCCAAAACAGATCGATTTCAGTGGTAAATGTCGCTCCTCGACTTATAAATCAAAACACAGGGCTCCCTTCAAAACTACCAGCATACATGCTAACCAAACTGTCATTTGTTGATCCAGCAGACAACTATAGCCTCTACATGACACACTTAATACTACCAAACTCCCATTTTATGATAGTTTTAACTACTTGCCCTAAACCTAAGCCACGCATAAGTTATATAATTACTGGGATAGCCTTACTTCAGGCAGGTGTAGCTAAAGTTAGCCTGTCTGTGGTTAAAGGAGATGCTAGCGTGCTAATGTTGCTAACTTCCACTGGGTTAACCTTGTTAGTTGGGCTTTTTATTTCTTACCTGGACGGGTTTACTCCACGACTTCAACAGCTCCGCTTTAAACGGGGCGCAAACCAGGCCACTGTGGATGTACCATCCTCTAAACACGGAACCGAACCTCCCCAAGCAGCTAACTGTTGGATTAGTTCACAGAGGTGTAAATTCTTCACTCAGACCGCCATCTTGAACAGAAGTGTGTCGGATGTGAGGTCACACGACCAGAGAGGGGAGGGGAGGGGTCACCTGAGGAGAGGCAAAAAATAAAAAACACTAATGACAGGCAACATTCCACTAAGATTAACTGGAACCGATTGCTAATTCTTGGCATTTGTTGCCACATTTTTCTACCCTAAGATGACAAAGTCATGAATGCATTTAGGAAAGCAACTTCATCTTCAGGGTGTTTACTTTTGGGGACAGTTTAAATCCATCCAATTCTAGTTATTGGAAGACTTCCAAAGTGTAGCGCAAACTGGGAGGGTATGCCAGGTTCAGGGCATATATCAGTCCCATGAGCAGCGAGCAGGCTTTTGCAGTACTGTTGCACCCTGTCAAAATGATGGTCACTGGGACTACCTCCTGCTCTGTGCGTGATCCTGTAATGTCTGGAAATGGAGCAGAATCTGTCTTGCTGTGAGCTACAATGCACATGTGCCGTGCTTGAATTTCAAAACGCTACATTTTTTGTAGTTTATGTAGTATTTTTAGGTTTATGTACATACTGCTATTAAACACTAAAATAGTATAGGAAATCTGAGTAAAACTTTCTAATTCCCGAAAATTCATGTATTACATTGAAAAAAGGTTTACTTTTACTTTAGAAAATCTAGTTTTTACTGAAGCTTAAAAATACAGAGCAGAAATTATGACGAATAATCTAATAGAGTTTACTGCACCAAATGTCACTTCTATCAGTGTAGTTGCTATCCATGGCCTGTAAATCTCACTAAAACTGTTAAACAGAATTTGATCCACAAGAACCTCACCTTATGCACCTTTTGCTCCTGCACTTTTTTCAGCGACTCTACTTTCCTATCAAATACTTGTGCAGGAAAAAATATTTAAAATGTTTTTAGCACTAGATTTTCAAGACTGTTAGTCATACTCTGCTGTTAGATTAGCTACCTGTCCAGGGTGGAACCCACCTCTCATCTATTGACCATTACATAACAGGAGCCAGTCCCTCCACCAGAACAATGCAATAATAAGACAATGAACGATTGTAAGCAGCATTTACCAAAATGAATATATGAATATACTCATAACATCTCAGTGTAATTGGCTTAAATTCACCTGTTTTATCAATTTTCCCTTTATAAATGCTCTTGTTATACAGAGGACCTGCATAGCCTTGGTGGTGAAGCATTATTTTGCACCACCAACGTGGCAGAAACTTTTACAATCCGTCCCTCAGTGAGGTCCAGAAGCACAAGATCTATATCCAGCCATTCAGCAAAAAATATTGCTGCATGGCTGCACATCTTATTTTGGCATTTGACCAACTAGATGAGGCCTTGAATGATTTATTTCCTAATGTAACTTAAGTTGGAAAAAAAGTAAAAAGCCAATCGAAAAGTTAAAAAGTAAAGTTAGATAAGTTCACAAACCTTGTTAACAATTATATTTAGGTTTATAAAATAAAAAAATGTAACTGCCAGTATCAGCATTGATGCCTCAAAGGTTATGTTAGACAAAAAAATTGTTTTCTTTTACTCTCAGTGTTTTCATGAATTTCTTATAGAAGCACCTTGTTATTTTTCTCAATATATTCGGGCAAGTTGGCGTTTCTTGTTATTACATTGACGTTAATTTCTGCCATCAAAATATCCATATTTTCTGAATTTTACAAAGGTAAAAAGTTCTTGTCCTGGATTCCAAAAACACTATTTGTTTCACATTTTGATTTTCAAAGTATTTCACTGAGTGCCCTATACAGTTAAAAAAAAACTTTTGAAAGCTGTAAGAACGTACTTTCGTTTTTTTTTTACACACACGGTATATACATAATGACAATAAAGTTTGATCCTGGTTCACAGTTCATTAGCTAAACACGCGAGGGCGCTGTTTGGCCCGGAATCCCGTGAACTTTGTTCAAGTAGTAAATGGGCGTGTTTGTTCTCTCACTGCATGAAAAGTGAGATTTTCGTCCCCGTAAACAGATCTGCCTGATTTTCGTCAGTTTCCGACAATTTGCAACCCGTGCTTGTCCGCGTTTGTCGTGCCACAAATTGCCGGAAACGTACCATGACGTATGTGGAGAGCGATCAGCTGTACTAATGGCCCTAATTAGCATATGAATACAGCAAACCCGCGCGGCTGGCCAAGTCTGGCTTGAATAACCTTCTCAGTATTGGCTGAAACCACTATTCTCAAACAAATGAAATCGCTCGTGATTGGCAGCAAAACCACACGTGGCCACGCCAGGCTTTAATTTTCTTACTGAGTATTGGACGGAACCACTTCTTTTTAAACAAGTAAAGTCGCTCGTGATTGGTTGGCATATATATATATTTACATATAAATTTACATATATATATTTATTCATATATATATATATTTATTCATTCATATATTTATTCATTCATATGCTGTGTTTTTATCCTACACTACTACACAATTATTATGCTACCATCAAGGACATGAATGAATTTATACAGGAAATGAAGATTTGCCAGGAAGCTTTTTATGCAAAGAAAGAGCTTTATTAAAACACACAACTATATACAACGCGTATCCAAACACATGCGTTTCTAAAAATTAAAAGTCCATGAACGGTCCGTTTGCTTCCTCGGGGTTGGAGGTAACTGGCAGCATTCCCTCCGAGGCAGCTCCGATGTGCAGACGCATACTGTGCGTGGCCCTGTACTTCGGCATCACTTCTAACCGGGACTGCAGCTTAACACAGAGTTCAGTGAGATCCGGCCTACGAAATGGCGGCGACCGTACAATCCATCCAGAGACACCGCCGAGGAAGGCGGACTTCCAGAGTTCCACTTCCTCATCTGTTAGCACACTCTGCCTCGCTTTCAGCAGCTGAAAAAAAACAATGAATCAGCGCACTGCGTATGGACACAACACATCTATTAATGCACCTGAAAAATAGTCACCAAATAAAGTCTTACCCTCTTTCTTCTGGCCTGACTCCGAGCAGATAGCCTCCGCACGCAGCGTGCTGGCTGGCAGCGTATATCTGAAGCTCCTGTGACCGTCTCATAATACGTCTTACAGGCAGCTGGAAAACAATTAAATGAGAGTGGTATAAATAAAAAATGAAACGCAAGTCACAGTAACAAGGAAGGAGAAAACATTAGAACAAGTCACTTACACGCAATGTCGTCTTTATCAACATCGTGCAAATCTGGACTTGCCGAGATGGCTCCGAGCAAATAGGAGGTCTTTGAAAACAAAATGTAAAGCTATGATGGGTATCCATTGCCTTTTACCGCAGAATGAAAGCATATTCTTTAAATCTTACCCTTGCTCCGGTTCATAGCGCCTGCAATTAGTCTCCGAGTTGTTAAGACGGCGTACTGCTTCCTGTAAATCACAAAAAATACACTTTAATAAAGCTTGTTCTTGCAAGGCTACTATTAGCCGCTATTAGCCGTAGCTCAGGCTAGGCCGCTTTTAGCTTAGCAGGCAGTAATCGAACATATATTTACCGCTAGCATCTCTTCTTTGAGTTCGTCTTGTTCGATGCAGAGTCGCCATCGCGTCCAAGAGGAGTTTTACCCTGAATTCTCCGCTCCAGACCGCCTGCACAAAGCAAAGCATCCATCCTCCACTGTGGATCCAGCCCCGCCGCTCTGAGTTTCTTGGAGATCGTACAGAGCATGCGCGAGATGAACCAGGGTTCTTCTTCTTCTTCTTATGGGGTTTTATGGCGGTTGGCAGACTTGTGAATTGTGCATTACCGCCACCAACTGATATGGAGTAAAGCAAGAAAACAGAAAACGATTCACCCCCCCCCCCCCCAAAAAAAAAAAAAAAAAAAAAAAAAAAAAACCTGTGTAACTTAAACCAACATAATACTAAATCACATTTGCCCATATAATTTTTAATTTACTCTAGGTCATCTTAACTCTGCCAGTTTCTGATGGTCCCATCGGTCCTCCCATCATACTTCCAACCATCTCCCAGTTCAAATCTTTAATGTCCAGATATTTTTCTGCAGCCTTCACTATTATTTTGATTTTTTCCGTTTTTTTTGTTGTCTGTGCAGTACAATTAATTACTTCTACCATGAAAAGAACAAAATTTGTCTTTTTAACAATAAGTGAGTCTTCATCAATTTTTTGATTCTCTAGAGGTTTGGAATTTGCCGTGTGTTGAACTGTAGGTTTGGGTTTTTCTGACTGAGATGGGATCCTTTTTGCAGCTTCAGCGTAGGTTATTCCGAGCTCAAATTTCATTTTTTTAATTTCCTCAGACCTTTTGCTTGCTTCACAGCCGCGATAAGCAGCAGTATGTTCTCCACCACAATTACAGCATTTTATTATAGCTTCTTTTCCACATTTACCATATTCGTGTTCTCCTGCACACCTTCCACACCTCTGTTTCCCTTTACAAACTGCTGCAATGTGACCGAATTTTTGGCATTTGAAACATCTCAATGGTGGAGGATTGTAGATTTTGACATTATAGCTTATGTAACCGATGAATACTTTGCTTGGTAATTGCTCTTCCTCAAATTTAATTAGCACTGATAAACTGTCAGATCTTTCTCCGTTTCTTGTTGTTTTTAACCGTTTTACTTCTTTTACTTTTGCACCGCTTATGTTTTCCAGAATCTCTTTTCAGAAATTTTTAGAGGAACTCCTCCAATGACTCCCCTGCTGATCTTTTTGTTCTCCATTAGGCTGCACTGAACTCTTATCCCGTCAATTTTGTTGATCCGTATTGCTTTGCCTTGCTGGGCGCTGTCTCTGCAGTTAATTAGCAGGTCTCCACTGTACAGAATTCTGGCACCTCTGACTTCTCCGACAAGTTTATTGATGGTTTTTGTTAAGTGAACCGGATTCCAATTTGTAAAAGAGTCTGCCTGATTAACGACTTTGAATATGACTTTGAATTCATTTTGTTGTGCTGTGGAATGTATGGAATGATCATCACTGGATTGTTCTGAACTAGATTCCCCTTGAACTGATCTCTGTTTTTTCCGCTTTTTCTCATTTTTTGATGTTGCTATCTTCCACCCTTCATTGTCACTATTTCCCTCTTCCATCCCACAAGAATCGCTTCCTGTTTCCTCACTACTCACGGCCCAAGACATTTCTCCATAAGCAGCTTCAAAACACGCGCCATGCACCAAACGACCATCCACATCCGACCGACCAAACAGCACCGATGAACCAGGGTTTCCGCGGATCAATAAAAATAATTAAAAAATCATTCTTTTTTTTTTTTTTTTTTTTATCAAGGCCTTAATTGGCACTAAAATTATTTAAATATGTTTATCGAAGTATTTATAATTCTTTAATAAAAAATGCTTATAAAAACAATTTCGTTAGATATATTATATCGCTCCAGGCGGAGAAAAAGCTAGAGGATATATATATACGTATATATGTGTATGTGTGTGTTTACATACATACAGGAGTCATGGAACTGTGCTTGCAGCTCCTTCATATTTCATGTACACTAATACATGAAATCCATGTTCTTGCCATCAACAAGAACATGGTTTTTGTTGATGGCATTAAAATCATTTCAAATAGCATTAAAATAGCATTAAATTAGAGTCACTCATTCCTGTATGAACCCTGTGAGCGCTTAATTTAATATGACATATTAAAAAAATCCCACCATCATCCAGCATATGTTCAGTTTCTGCCCAAATATATATATATATATTTTTGTAGATTTTTGTAACGGGGATAAGGATAATTCAAAACTGCTTTTTTTTAATGAACTTGTTCACTACTCCCAAACTCAGCATCTCTTTTCATTCCTGTAATAAGAAGTTTCTTTTGAATGGATTTGATTAAAGTTTAAGTCCCTCGGTATAAAATAAATATTTTGATGCAGATGAGAAATCTGCTTCCTCGTTGGTGAATAACCAATAGTTTGGATCCAATCATTTAAATAAACGGTGTTAGTTTTTTTTTTTTATATATATATATATATATATATAAGAATTGTGCTATAATTTCTAGTCACCGATCTGTTGCTGCTATATTTTAATTTGACGAACCGGAATTTGTCGATGTTCTTTTTCCTGTTTGGTGCGATTGCAATTGCGGATCTTGACCTGGCCGGACCTTATGATCACAGTGTACCAATCTTCTCAAGGCTACTTCCAACAGGATAATGCGCCATGTTAAAAAGTAAATAATCTCAGACTCATTTCTTGAAACTTTTCCACTTAAGTAATTGTGAATTGAGCATATTGACAGACAACATTTTATTTTTTATCTTAAATGCAATTTTTTTTTTTTTATAATTACTGCTCTAAATGTATTGCTCTGTCAGCTAAAGATCTGTTTTGGTCTCTATACTTTAATTAAATAAATCAATTCAAGCTAAAATGTAAGAGGCTATACTGAGCCTGATCTCTTTGTATCAGAGATTTTCTTACCCAGAAAAATGTCACTTGGGGTAAAACCCCCCCTGCAACCCTGGTTTGCATTTGTATAGCTCACAGCATGTTCATTTACATGTTAAAGCCTCCCCTAGAATTCCATGGGGGGGAGGCATGGGGGGAACACTGCCTAAGAGAGTCCATGTCAATTTCTGACAATTTACGGGAGTTTTCGGCGAAGCCTGCAAATTGTCGTAAACTGTCGCTAACCTGAAGTTCCACGACAATCTACAGTGCCGCATATTGACGAAAATCCCACTTTTCATGCAGTGTCTGTGAACTGCAATCCTGCCCACACAAAGACAGAACATGGAGTAAAGCAGGGGACGTGAGTCAAACTTTTTGTTATCTGAGCCCTTCTGCTGTTGGTGATCACAGGAAACTAACGCAACGAATGAGCCACAATATAACTTGGAAAGCGCTCTCTGTAGTTTCTGGTAACTTTCTGTAGGGATTAGGATTATATGTATTGATCTAGGGTGGTTTGATTGGATCTGTGTCATTGATTGTAATTTGACCTTTTGGTACTTTAAACTACATGCTTTTAGTGCTAATAACACTTTCTTGTGTTGCACAAGTAGATAGATGTTCCCTTTGCTTTTCTTACCATTGGATGGACCAAAAGTATAAATTAAGAGCTGTTTTCTTTTCTCTCTTTGCAGTATCCAAGCCACAGGGAAGGTGAACCTCAGGGAATAAGGAGAAAGATGGAGGATTTCTGGGCAGGGGTCCTCTGGGCCCTAAGGATTTGGCTCTACCTCATTATCAGTCTCATCATGATCCCAGCCATGTTTGGATTTTCTCTGGGCATCTCTGAGACCTACATGACCATCTTGGTGAAGACCTTAGAGGTATTATAATCTGCTTCACATCATCCAGATGAGCTGAATCCTATATTCTTAAAACCTGACCATGGACTCCTCCACAGTGGGCCACTCTGAACATACAGAAAGCAAATGCAGAAGAAGAAAAGGTTAATGCTTCTGCATCTAATGGTGAGTAAATATTCATGTATATACAACACTGTGGCTCTTCTTGACTGCAGCATATTCAGACAGAAATTCATTTTGGCTTTGCTGCAATACTGGATTTCTGTATTGCAAGTCAAGACAGGAATGTTGCAATGTTATGGAGGCTTGTTCACTATAAAGGTTGGCAGTATTTTTCTAAAATCCTAACAAAAACAGGTAATGCATTGCACAATATTGTGTTTTTGGGATATAATGAACAAGACGCCACAACATGCAGCATGGGGAAGTTGCTCTGGGAACTTTGATTACAGTATCTTAAAAGACCCAATTACTCAACTCCTTATCTGTCACCATACTGCATGGGGTTATATGCCCTACTTTACCACATAAATACAATAGATCTGTCAGCAAAAAAACGCTTTTTAGACCTCTGCAGAGGTCAAAGTATGGCTCTGATATGTGGTGAAATTTTGATAAGAAGTGGCAAATTAAAAATGCTAAATCACCGTTACATTGAAAACATGAGGATGTAACCCTGATGTAACTTTTCCTGCAAATACAGAGAAAATAAACCCAAAAAAGGAGGAATCTGCGTGGCCAATCACACCAGTCCCATAGACATCATAATACTTTGCAACGACGGCTGTTATGCCATGGTGTGTGATAAATCAAACATTATGATGGAGTCTATCATCTTAAAAAAATAAGCAGTAAGATAAATGGGTATATTTTGAAAAAGATATGTCAATTTTGGGAGGAACACCATCTTAACGACATTAACACGGCCAATCAAGGAAAGAGGAAGAAGCTTCCATCGATCCATCATAGACTTAAATTTATTGATTAACTCCAGATAGTTGTATTTAAGAGAAGTTTAGGGTCCCTTGTGATATTTATTCCCAGATATTCAAAATGATTAGTGGAAACTTTGAATGGTAGGCTACTAAGAAAATCAGTGTCCAGACCATCAGAAAGAGGCATAAAAAGACTTTTGTCCCAATTAATAGTAAAACCAGAGAGCATTCCAAATTTCTTTATAAGAGTAAGAAGCGGAGAAAGGGAGATTGTAACATCTGAAAGGGTCAAAATAACATCGTCAGCATAAAGGCCGATGGGACTATCTGTAGTATAGTCCGAGATGCCAGTGATCGACGGATGGGTCCTGATGGAAATAGCAAGGGGTTCCATGGCCAGTGCAAAAAGTAACGGTGAGAGACAGCACCCCTGTCTGGTTCCACGGTGTAATGAAAACGAGGCAGACCTGTCGTGATTAGTCAAAACAGAAGACTTGGGATGAGCATAAAGCATTTTTAATAATTCCATGAATTTATCACCAAATCCAAATTTTTGGAGGACCAAAAACAAATAGTCCCATTCAATTTGGTCAAATGCTTGTTGGGCATCCAATGAAATAACTGCAGAGGCAGGAAGGTTAGTCCGATACATAACTTGTAGGAGTCGACGAGTATTAGAAAAAGAATATCTGTTAGGGATGAAGCCAGTCTGGTCAGGATGAATCAGGTGAGCAATGTGTTTGTTTAGACGGGTAGCTAATACTTTTGCAATTATTTTTTGATCGCAGTTTAGTAAGCTTAAAGGACGATATGAGGCAACATTAGAGCAATCCCTGCCTTTCTTCAGGAGGAGACAAATATCAGCATCATACAAACTCTGAGGGAAAACTCCCTTACTAACTGAAGAGTTCACCATGCGCAGAAGAAGAGGGGCAACCAGATCCAAATGACTTTTATAAAATTCTATCCTAAACCCATCCGGACCACAAGCGTTACCAGAAGATAAAGAACGTATGGCAGCTTTAATTTCTTCAAGTGTAAAATTAGAATCCAAGTCTAACCTGGCGGGATCATCCAGAACAGGGACATTTAAATTGTTTAGGAAATCTTTAATGTCAGAACTGGTGGCAATAGACTTAGAAGTGTATAAATTGCTATAATAATTAAAAAAGGCGTCATTTATAAGTTTAGGGTCAGTTAACATTAGCCCAGAGGGGGAATAAATTTTATGAATGGCTCTATCTGCAAGTGAGCCTTTAATTTGTCTGGAAAGCAATCTGTCAGGCTTGTCCCCTAGTTCAAAATGTTTTTGTTTAAGTCTGCGAATGCAATTACCAACTTGTTCCCCAAGCATGAGATTGTATTCAGATTTTATCTTTAGAATAGCACCAAGTATATTTTCATCATTGGAATTCTGATAGCCATCCTCGAGAACAGTCAATTTAGCCTGAATATCTGTAAGACGCTGTGATCTAGTCTTTTTGGCTGAAGACTGATAAGAAATAATATTTCCTCTTAATACCACTTTAAATGACTCCCACAGAACTGAGTCAGATACTTCTCCGTTGTCATTAAAAGGAAGAAAATCTGAAATTTTGGAGGAAACATAGTCCTGAAATGATTGAGCAGAATTAATAGGGGGATTAAATTTCCAATTAAACGACGGAGAATAAAGGTTAAAGTGAATCTTTAATAAGAGAGGGGCGTGATCTGAAATCAAAATGCTGTGATACATTGAGCTGACTGTATTTGAAATTAATTTTGAATCAATTAAAAAGTGATCGATTCTAGTAAAACTGCCATGGGAGGGAGAAAAAAAAGAGTATTTACGATCAGAGGGATGCTGAAGCCTCCAGATATCAACTAAATTTGAAGACTGCATGAGATTATTTAGAACCGAGACTAATTTCAGAGAAGGAGCAGCTTTATTGGAAGACCTATCCAGCAATGGATCGAGATAGCAATTAAAGTCACCACCTAGAATGATGTCCCTATTATTACATTATGCAACAATGTCAAATATCTTGTAAAAAAAATCGGGACAGTCATAATTCGGGGCATAAATATTTAATAAGGCAACAGGGATGGAATTGATTTCGCCAGTGACAAGGACATATCTTCCTCCTGAGTCTGTATACATGGAGTTAAAGATAAATGGAATGGATTTGCGAATAAGGATTGCGACCCCTCTAGCCCTGGAAGAAAAATTTGACTGATAAACTTGTGACACCCATGAAGATCTCAAACGCTTCTGCTCATTTGGTGGAATATGAGTCTCCTGAAGAAAAACAATATCGGACGAAAGTGATTTCAAATGTGAAAAAACCTTTGCTCTTTTAAGCGCTTTACCAAGCCCTCTGCAGTTCCAGGAGACAAAATTAATAGGACTCATGCCCGGCTTAGAAGTATTATTATCCTGCATTTATCATAATGTAAAGACAGCAGCTGACACGATAAACACAACAGAACAAAGGAAAATTAACAATAACAAAACAAACACAGAATCCCCATAATTCACCCCAGCCGCAACAAAAACTAAGCGGCATTTCCCTCAGTCTAAAGTGGAGGCTGCCGGATAACAGAGAAAAGTCCTCAAGAAAAAAAAAAAAAAACCTAAACCCAACAAGCCGTGTTTACCTCCTAAGGAACTATATAAATGTTAGTGTGCACCAATGCTTAAATAAACATTAGCGTATGATGATTAATATAGTCAGACGCTGTTAGACAGTAAGTTGACCAACCGCTCTGCATCAGCTGGAGAAGTGAAAGTTTTCACAGAGTCATTTAAAGACACTTGTAGCTTGGCAGGAAAACGCAGGGAACATTTGGCACCAGCTTCCACCAGCCTTTTCCTCACGGTGTTGAATGCCTGGCGCTGTGCTGAAACCTCCGCCGTGTAGTCTGGGAATATGAAGACTTTCTGGCCGTGGTACAGCAGCGGCGCTTGTTGTCGGCTCAGCCGCAGGATATTCATTACGTTACGTTGCAGGTCGTTGTGCACTCTGGCGATAATGATCCGAGGTTGTTCATTGGGAAGCGGCTTGGGTCTCGGGGCGCTCTGTCTATTTTAACGGGCTTGGGAAAGTTGCCCTGTCCCAGCAGCTCCGGGATGAGCTTTGAAATAAACTCAGCAGGATGGCCGCCCTCTTCCCCTTCCTTAACGCAAACAATCCGGATATTTTGTCTGCGCGAGCGCCCTTCCAAGTCATTCACCTTTGTTTTCAGAAGAAGGTTAGCCGCCGTTACCTCACAGCAAGTTGCCTCCAACGCCGAAACACGGGCATCTGTAGAGGATAGAGCCGCGTCCATGTCATCTAGACGTTGCTGGACCTCGCCATGCTCAGTCTGCAGGGTTGTTAGACGAGCCTCAATAGAGTTCAGGCGACCTTCCAGCGATTTCTTTAGAGAATCCACGAGGGTGTAAACTTTAGAAAGTTCATCTTTATGGCTATTGACGGCGGCTAAGATAGCCTCGTTGCTAACAGCAGAGCACGCCTGAGTTGTCAACTTCTGAGCCTCGTCTTTCCTTGGCATAATGTAAAATACCAAAGCTGTTATATCCTGATGAAACAGATGCCTACTAGTCCCCCAGCAATGAAGCTTATAACTTAGATGACTAAGGTGCAATAATTTGATTTTAAATGAAGGCAGTGACACGGAGTTGAACATAACACGTCTACTCCATTACAACGCACTAGCACCCCCCAAGATGGAAATTGTTTCACAGTATCACACACAGCTTCGTTTTGGACGGTCTTCTTCCTGATGCTTTTCTCGAGGCGTTGTCTTCACTGCAGTTTTTCTGACTTCCTTCCTCTTCAACACCTAAAATCGAATTATAGAAAAAAAATACTTTACAGCATATTGTTTTACTGATGAGAAGTTTACATTTGGCCATGAAGAGTGAGTAAAGCTTAAAGGAACTTTAAAAGCTTTAAATCCACCCAAATCCCCAAAGTTTAATCAGCTGTCAAAAAGCTTTTGGTTTAATGTGGGCTTGATGTTTGACTGCTCCAGCAGAAAGGGACTGAGGTGAGGGAGCTAATTGTTAGCCTGTTTATCTGTCATTGGGGTTTATCAACCAGTTCTCTCTGTGTTGATTTGAGGAAGAATATAAGAAATTCTGAGTTAGTCCATTATTAGCACCCTAACTTTGTGGTATGCTCCACATCCACTAGTAATGAAACACATGATGCTACCACCACCATGCTCAACTATCTGGTATGTTGCT